ACTGGGTAGCCCCCTCAGCACACGCCACCCCTTTGTGTGGACTTTGCATGTTCTCACTGTATGGGGGTGCTTTTTTGTCAGATCTGCCAATTTCCTTATACTGTTCAAAAAACATTAAAAAGTGAAACGGAGTGCCTAAGCTGACCATGAGCATGACTGAGTGTGCATGACTGAGTGTGCACCCTGCAATGAGTGGTTGGTACCTGCCTTGCACCAGTTGCAATGTATATATTATATTACATTATATATATCCATTTTCTGAAACCGCTTCTCCGATTCAGGGTCGTGGAAAGTCTGGAGACCATGGGCACAAGGTAGGGAACAACCCAATAGAGGGCACTAACCCATCGCAGGGCACACTCACATACCCAGGATGGGGCACCAACCCATCGCAGGGCACACTCACATACCCAGGATGGGGCACCAACCCATCGCANACTCACATACCCAGGATGGGGCACCAACCCATCGCAGGGCACACTCACATACCCAGGATGGGGCACCAACCCATCGCAGGGCACACTCACATACCAGTCACTGAAAACACAGGGAGAACATACAGACTCCACACACGGAACCCAGGTCCCAGGTGACTGTGATAACCACTGCACCACCATGTCACCCTTAAATCATATCATATCATATCATATCATATCATATCATATCATATCATATCATATCATATCATATCATATCATTAATATAATCGATAGTGACAGCCTTAGAATTAATATGAATAAAAAGGCATGATAATTTCAAAAACCACAAGGCACATGTTTGGAAATTATGCCAACTATTGCCAGTTTCTTAATGACAATCAAATGGTATATATGTATTTACGCGGCCAGCCTGCCTTTCTAGCTTCGGCAGCAGCCATAGGGTTGCTCTTTGCCGTTATTGTGCTTTTGAATTCTTCATATTTTCTATGTTCTGCTGCAGTGAAATACATAGCCCTGTTGCGATCTGTATTTACGTGATTGGCTGATCAATGCACACGGCATGCTTTTATGTGCACATGCTCGGGAAGTTATCATGATTTCAGTAAGAAAACCTGGCTAGATATAGCACCATGATGGCCTTTATCTTGAATTGCAGTGGTTTGGTTTTGTTGAGCTGAAACTTATGTTGGAATAGGGTGCAGGCAGATCTATCAGCGTGGGTCCTTCCTCAGAACATCAATCTGATCTTCAAACTCTACTCTGAGCTTCATTCCCCTTGAGTTCCAGAATGACCCGGAGTGTCTCCTCAGCTAAGAGTTAACGCTGTTTATGTTAGATCGCAGAACATGAGCCCGTTTACATCCCAGCCCTCTGAGATATGCCTGATCTTCTGAGAGAAGGAAGCAGGTGACAATTTGGCAGATGGGAGGAAGCTATAGTGCCAGAAGCAGGACAGGGAAGCAGGAGGAGATGCAGCTGTATGCATGCATGCCAAAAGCCGGCGTGCCAAAAGGCTGCTCTCAGGCATCACCTTGGACGCCCATGTTATTTTCATCAGGGTGAGTAGAAATCTGGCCACCTTGTAGTCATAACAAACCAGGAGGAAGGCCTTGCTAGCTGCACCCTGATCCAAACGCCAAACATGCTGAAGGTGCACTTCCAAGGAGCAGCTGCCGGACCCATTATTTGTCTTTTTCAATATTCCTACCTGGAAGATTAATGCAAAAATCTGAGCATGGTTCCCGGGATGCTCAGATCTGAGTGCTGTTTTCTGCATGTTACGGGCCAAGTGAGGTTCCCTAAAGGATCGGATCTGAGGACCTTTAGTGTCTATCAGGGCAGGTGCATGAGGTATCCTGGGGGAGGGGGGGGGGGCTCCAGCTTGGTTCACCGAGGAAAATTAAGGGGGCGGGGGGATGCCCAGGCCAAGGTCACGTCACAGCGGTGGTGGGGGGGTTATAGACCTGACCTGTGGGATTCCTGAGGCTAAGAGGCAATAGGGGAGGGGAGTTACAAACTGGGCAGGGGGGTGATGGAGGAAACACTGTCAAACTGATGTCCTCAACACTCCCTTCTGCAGAACTGGATCTAGGCCCGGGCTTCCCCCATCTGCGTGACGGGGGTGGTTAAAGCCGAGGTGACCCTCTGGTTACACCTCCCATGTCCCCCAGGCTTCGGACCCCCCTGGGGCACGGGGCAGGGGCAGTTAGCCCTATGCCTGTCGACCTTGAGGTTAAAATAACCGGCCTGTTTAATATAGCGGTAGGTAAAGGCCAGTGCTGGAGTGATTATACAGAAGAGTGAGCGTGTACTCCCCAGGGAGGAGAGATGGAGGGCCAGCCGACCACCGAGCGGAACAAAAACATGCAGGACGCTATATATACACAGTCAGCCGGATGGGCACACAGCGCTCGAACCCTGACAGCCAGAACAGGAGAACACAGACAGGGTTACTGTGGTAACAGTGTGGCCACGGCCGGCCTGACCTCTGACCCTGCGGCCCCCTAATTAGAGCCTTATTCAAACTCTGTGAGGGCTGATGGAGACCACAGGGACGGTGTTTGGGGGGGCACTTCCTGTACAGAGACCCCGCCTTTCCTGTTTATAACCCAGCGCCACCATCATGCCAACCACCACCCTCGAAAAACACAGACTGAGGGAGTGTGTGTGAGAGACCATGACAGTGTGTGTGGGAACATGGCCGCCTGCTCTGAGACACAAAGGCGACGGCCTTCTCCTGTCCTTCAATGCTGCGTGACTTAGGAGTCCCTGCAGCCCCGGGGTCATGGACTGGGAGACACGCCTGTGCTACCTGTACCTGTGCTGGGGCTCTGCTAGCCGTTAGCGTTAGCCATTACCGTTAACGGTTAGCATGTGCACAGTTACAGCAGCCACAGGAGACATTAATGTTGTGAATAAATCCCTGGTAATAGTGAGAAATCCGGAATGGTTGGTCTGTGTTTACTTGCCCACACGCCCTGGGAATGCTGGGAAAAGAGGACAGCTGACACGCAAAGCCAAATTTCCAGGGTAATCCAAGGCAAAATGTTTATGCCCAAAAGGTCACAAGGTCCCCGTGTTCCTCATGGCGTGTGAAGGATCTGGCCAGTCACTGCTGAAATGCTTTTCTGGTTTTGTTTCTTCATTTCCCATTTGGATCTGCTCCTCGCAGCACCCAGAACGTTCTGCGGCTGTGAAGCGGGTGGCACACACACACACACACACACACACAGACGGCCCACTGGCCTCTTTAGTTAACTCACTTGCGGTTTCCAGCCGTTTGCAGCAGATACCGTGGAATTTAACTCTCAGCTTCCCACATCCTCCTGGGGGTCACAGAAGCTACTCTGTAAGAGCCTCACAGTTTACCCAGAATCCCTTACTCAGGCACAGGCTTGCATGGTTCTGCAGGTCACCTGCGGGTCACAGGTGACTACAGGGAACTGCCCCTCCCACCAAAAAAGTACCATGTGAATCACAATAAAAATTCCAGAAAAGTCTAGAAAGTTTAAACCACATTGGTAATACTGTCCACGTAGCCATCAGAAAAGGGAATGAAGCTCAGCAATCCTTTCACGCTGCACGTCAACAGAAATGTTTTCTGACAAGGGCGACGAGCTGGCTCACCTGTTGCCCCCCCAAAACAGCCCAGAGACACGGGGGCATGCATCTCAATCTCTCTTATGTGTAACACAGTATTTATTCAGAAAACCGTAATCAAACATTAACTGTGCTGTTGCGATGCTGGCTGTTACAGTGGGACTCTGATGGGGCAGCACAGCTGAACGGGTCATCTTTAAACACTTTGGCAGTATTTACATTCCTGAGGGGAGAAGAGTAGGGCGAGTCTGGCCTGAAGGCCCGCTACAGCGGCTCGCAAATCGCCACACATGTGGGAATAATTTCATTTAATCTTCCCGTTAGCGGGGACCCGCGTAGCCGTGGTGGCCGTGGATGCCTCGGGACGTGGCATGGATTCACGGTGACACACGATATCCCGGGGTGATCTCCGCCACCCCGGCAGAGGGTTCTCCTTCAGGAAGAACCTTAAACAAAATATTAGCAGCCTGCTCCTTCGCCCATAAGACGATCAGGGCTTATCAGACTTCCACAGAACCACGACCCGGGTACCCTGAACTCGCAAGCCCCCATTTGGATGTGGAATCTCCTGTTGGGACCCTGATCGGTGTCCATGCTCCCCACCTACTCATGAGCATAGCCTGAGTGCGAGTTAGGACACATTTCTGAGGATAGAGAGGGCGTTCCAGAGTAAAACTTTACACAGCTGAAGGGGGGGGGGGGTACTCATTCCTGGATACATCTTTCTGGAATTGCGGTAATCCCCCCCCCCAAATCAAGCCGGCCATTTCCGTCCCTTGGGTAAGATACTCGGTGTCAGCTGAACCCCCGTCCCGTAACAGAGGCCATTAGCCACTGAGAGGTGCTGTGAGTTCCTGTTCGACCCCACCCACAGCGAGGCCCCGGCTGATGAAATGAGATCTCGATAGTGACAGTGCTGAGCTGGAGTTAGGGCAGGTGACGTGACAAATCGACTCCCACAAACAGTCTGATGACTGAACAAACCCAAACAGAGGCTGCCTCACTACAGACACAATCAGGAAAAGGCACTATATCAACTGCATACTGATCAAAGTTACAGGCATCTTGTAACAGTTATGCTACGTCACAGTCTCATTAAAACACAACAAAGGGTTGCCATCCAGTGGGGGAACCAGTACATTCCCCTTCTGGGGGGTGGGGACACCTTTCAGGCCAGAAAAGAGCCTGAGATGAAACTCAGTGCAAAGCCCTGGTGGGTTCAGATTATTCTGCCTTGGCTCTTATAGCCAGAGCAAGTGTGACCTCCTGATAATACACAAGCACTTATTGACATTGTGCAGGAAGCAGTAAATCTCCCAGCCAACCGCTGACCTCCTCCCGGGTGTCTAAATCAAACAGGTTTAAAAGCATCCGGAACCAGACAACGCACAGCTAATCTCTCCCTGCCGGTCGAACAAAAACGCACCTTTTCCACAGAGGAGAGGAAATTCTTCGGCTTACCTGTGGTGTGATGGCAGAGCAGCGTAATCTCTGCAGGAAAAGAGAAGAAACACAAAGAAAAGCATGAGGACAAAAGGCGGTGGAGGCGTGCTCAGCGCCATTGGCTGCCGTGTCACACATGCACAAATGCATCCTAGACACAAATTACTAAATCTAAGAATGTCAGGCATGAACTCTGTGAAAGTAGCTGGCTCTGGTGCTTTGTGAAGAACGGGATGAGGGTGCGCCAACCAGCTGCTAAACCAGGAGGCGGGGGGGGGGGGGACAGTAATTTGCAGGCAGATGTGCCACCCCCCCCCCCCACACACACACACACCCCTCCCCAGGACAACATCAGATTCAGTGCCTCTGCCAGACGCCCATTTACAAGAAAAGGCAAAGATGCAAAAAGTTTACACATACCCTTAAGTACCCCCCCCCCCCCCCCCATGGACAGAGGTGAGTCACTTAGGGGGTGGCTTGCAGGAGGTGTCCACGAAGCACGTGCTGAAAATGGCGGAATTGCACTTTAAAGAACAATGTCACCAGGAAAGTGGATCCAGAAGGGATCGGTGGGTCCAAAGCGGAAGGGCTCAACCGCAAGCCGATACGGTGGGGGGGAGGGGGGGCAGAGAATCAGCCAGGTAAGACAGATCCTGCTGATTACAGGTGTTGAAGCTGACTCCCCAAAACGAGATCTCTCTCTTCGACCCCCCAAGATGGGACCCCCCCACCACAAGAGAAACACCTGCTTCAGCATTAATGTGTGCCTTCAGAGTGTGTTGAGCTCATTACTGAGCACCAAGCAGCCACTGCCTGAGCATGTCACATGTCGATCAGGACATGTGTTCAGCTTCCAAAGCCTGGGGTAGGGCGATCAGATGCTGGGGAATTGGGGATGGTTCAAAGCCTCTGCCGATGGCATCTGACTAACCCTCTAACAGGCCATTAAACCCTGTGAGGGGCTGGGATCCCATCCAGGGTGTACCCCAGACTCATGCCCTATGTTGTCCAGAAAAGGCTCCTGGCGTTTGTGCAATGCTGCACTTTTCTGGCATTAAATATTTAAATATCATCACTTGCTAAACTTTCTCACTGAAAAGTGGCTCCAGCTGCAGATTTGCTAAGGCTTAGAAAAAACACTTATCCATAACAAGTATTTGTTTTGGTTATGAAGAGTACTTGTTTTCATTTCAAAATGAACGCAAGCTCTTCTGTACAGTTTCACTATATATGGAAAAATTACAATAATTTTAGCCAATTAAACTGACAGTGATCAGTGTCACGATATAAACACCGCATACATTTTCCAGCATTGAGTATAGTTGGTACCTGACACATCTTGAGTAAGGTCCAGCAGATGATGTAGGCCGACAGGGTGAACTTCGCCCGCAGGTACCCCTCCGTGGTGCAGGTGAGCTGCACCCGCACCTCGTCCGCTCTATCACCGGGCAAGCCGGGTTCACTGCCGCTCTCGTTATTCCTGCGGGGATCCATCGAGTGTCCGCATGAACTTTCACTGCGAGACCATGTCTGCCTGAAAAGAAAAAAACCTTTCGAAAGTATCGGAAGATTACTTATTATAACTATAAACTGCTCGCCAAGAGAAATGCCCGCTTTGAAAGCATGAAAACTATTAAAAGCATCGCATAAGAGCCGCAGCCCCAGCGAGTCCCGCAAAAGGTGACAGAAACTGCCCGCTTTCACCGCACAGCCTCTTCCAGCCCCAAAGCAGCAACACGATCCCTCTCCGATCACCGCTTTCAACGTTGAGTGGCGCTGTCGAGTGCACATTATCATGCGGGAAACATGTAGGATGGAGGAGGAACATTTCCAGACTTTTTCAAGTGCATTATATTTCAACACAGATTGCTGTGAGTTTGTGTTGTGCAGGGGCAAATTGTTGCGCAAACATCTGTAGACATATGTACAGTATAAAATATTTGACTGTGTTGATGAATGGCCGGGGAGAGATTACTACGTTGTGGTCGTTTATTCCGTTTCCAAAATGGTTTCCTTTAATTCACAAAAGAAAAAACTGAAACGAACACAACGTAACAAATTTAATTTCGACGGCATTTTTGTCCGTTTTACATCGCTAATTGCGTGCAGTGGCAGATTTACGGCAGATCCTAATTTGGGGATCAGTGGAAAACGCGGTAAAAGCCTTGCTAAACCCAGTCCAAAACTATTCCTCTAAGGATAGAGCAGCTTTCCAAAATATCTGCTGTTCCAGTTCGGCTTCCTGTGAGTCCCCCTCGCTGCTCCGCAGCCACAGAAAGCCGCTCACATTGCCGGACCTCTGGGACTGCGACCTGGATTCACCCACCACGCCGCTGCCAGGCATGGGCTCGCAGCCCTGCCCCTCGCTGTCTCCGGCCGTCAATAAAAGCACATGTACGCTGTTAGTGTTATGATTATTTCGTTGCTTAGCTTGTGCTTTTGCCCAAAGCGACTCGATTTATTTCCCATATATGCAGCTGGATTTTTTACAGTTGAATTCAGGATAAGCCATTTGGTTGCACACTCAGAAAAAATGGTTAAAAATTTTGCTTATCACTGGGGCTGTACCCTCAAGGGTCCTGCCAACTATAACCTTAGCTGTGGGTTTTTGTGCCTTTTAAGGTATAGAAATGGACTCCAAAGAACATTGAGTACCATTTGGGGTACATTAATGCTGTGTGTACCTTCCTCAGAGTCAATTTATGTACCTTAAAAGGTATGATTACAAGGGTACAGCCCCAGTGACAAGCAAGGGTACAAATCTTTACCATTTTTTCTGAGTGTAGGGTACAACTTCAGAGTTCCTGGGCTATGAGGCAGCAGCATTGGGGACTATGAGGCAGCGGCATTGGGGGCTATGAGACAGCGGCATTGGGGGCTATGAGACAGCGGCATTGGGGGCTATGAGGCAGCGGCATTGGGGGCTATGAGACAGCGGCATTGGGGGCTATGAGACAGCGGCATTGAGGGCTATGAGACAACGGCATTGGGGGCTATGAGGCAGCAGCATTGGGGACCATCAGACAGCGGCATTGAGGGCTATGAGGCAGCGGCATTGGTGTCGTATGTCTGTATGATGGGAGGCTTATGGATGGAGAAGGTCCACTGAATCTTCCCAGCTCATATAGAGCACATACAGTAAAGCTGTGTATTAAAACATCCACTATGGGCAGCTCTGGTCATCCATTTAAATTACAGCATCCAACAAAGTCACTCCATCAATGAATATTCTAGACTGCTTTGCCAAGACCACTATGCTTATAAGAATTATTATAAGGATTATTTTGCTAAATCCCTCATTCTCTTTTCAGCGCAGCAGACCCTCTGAGTAACATTTTTTTGGGGGCCAACAAATGTTCACACACTCTGGACAGGACCCCATTCCAGCACAGGACATTCAAACTTCAATTTCAAGTCCCCAGTCATGGAGACCCAACGCACAGGGGGTGGGGTATATTCCAGGGTCCTCTCCTGCAGGATATGGTACAGGTGGTTGCAAAATTACACAATTTATTACCATGTTCTGAGAAAGCCTGTTGGAAAAGAAATGGCCCAGAAAACTGCAAAAATGATCCACAGAGAAACAAGTACACAATATGTTATTATTTTGTGTTATTAATTGGAAAGAATGTAGGTGGTTTTAAGTATGGCTTATATGGGATAAAAAGAAATGAGCGGGATTAATTTCTCAGCTGGTAAGATTCTGTCCTGCTTTCAGCGGGATCACATTTCAAGCGCAACCATGTTTTACTTTGTTTTACTATTCAAGCCATAAACACTCTCAGAAAAAAAAAGTACCAACCTGTACCTTTCAGGGTATAATTACTTGTCATTGGTGTTGTATCCTGAAGGGTCTGCCAATTGTACTTCAAAGTAAAATATTAAAACGAGTTTTAAAATAACTGCAATGTCGCGCAATGCAGCCAGTTATTTCTTCGTATTGTTCCCTCGCTGTTTTGCGCCCCCGAACCAAATGCTAGACCTGACTACATGTCACCACGCAGACTTTTATGTCCCGCTATCAGACGGTTACGTTTGCATGGAGAACATCAGCTCTTATTTGTAGGGTGTACACACAGCATACCCCAGTCCGTTTGGCTTGCCAACAAGAAATTAACAGGTACAAGCAGTCACCTCTGATTTTTAATGTGCTGAACAAATTCTTTAAAACGGTTGTTCTGTTAATTCATCTTGCAGTTTACTATTCGCACAAAACGAACAAAGAGCTTTCCTCTTGGCAAAAATGACCGGACTCAGTCCTGCCAGTGCTGTAAGTGATTCAAAGCGGGTTTAGCCGCAGAGGGTGGGGCGCACAGCCGTTTCCAAAAACCGCGGGCTGCACCATGACGCGGTTAAATCCCTTTGCAATGTTAGCTTCTTTCCCTCAGTGAAGACCTTTCGCATTTGAATTTCAGGCGCTTCTAATTCTCCATTAATCTTTATTAAGAGTCTCTGGAGGCATCACTGCCGAAGCATTTCCTGCTTTTGTGTACCTAATATGATGCTGCGGTACCGTTTTTCTCTTCTGGACGCAACTTCAGAAATTAAGAGGAATTTGTCGCATCATTGTGCAGCAGATTTGAAAATAAGTGGGAATGAGCGATGATGATTCTCAAATAATTGTGGGCAACAGCAACTATTCTTGGGCCGCCTTCGCGCGAATGAAAATCGTTTTCTGAAGTGGTGCCATTTTCATCCCACCAGATGGCGCCATTTACATTCTGATAATGGCCACTGAAACTGTATCTGCTACGAATGTGGTGAGACCTGAAGTGACCGTCTATAATTTTCTGTTCAAACACGGGGATGGTATTCCTCTGCTATTATAATTTCCTTTAATGGCACTATATATGCAGTATTGCTTCAGTGGTAGGCTAGCTGCACAGTGATTAGTGAGAACCTGAGGATATAAAGACGAAAACTCTACGATTGAAACTACTGTATATTAAATGTAAAGAAAACTGTGGATGAGGATGACATCGGGATAGTCATTAAATTTTGTAGCTGACTGGTCACTCCTGAAAGGAATAAACATATCTGGTGCAAAATCCGAAAAATAGCTAAATGATGGCTTATAATGAACCGAACTGGATTCTTGTAAAACTTTGCTGTGGAGACCTGACGATCCATGTAAAGGCGGCCGGAGGGCAGTTTGGAAGGCCTCAGGTGTCGCTCAGACGGACCCGGCTCTGCACCCCTGTACTTCAGACTCCTCCGCTCCAAGGGCGATGACAGGCTGTACACAGAGGCAGCCAGCGATGCTGCTCCCTCCTCCCAATCTGTACAAAAGCTGCATTCATCCTTACCATCCTGGCGCTCAGGAGACCACCCCCCCCCCAGACGCACATCTCACGGGCTTTGCGCGCTAGTCCGCCTGTGAGGATACAGCCTCCCATCCCGGAGATACTGAGTTGCTACAATGAGCGCCGTGGCTTTGGTCCTGCTGCTTTTCACCGTCGTGTGCGGTCAGCGTCACAGGTACGCTCTTTAATATGGTTTGATATTAAGTTAAATGTTGGATTAGCTTTCCTTTGCCCTGGGTACCGTCTGCCAGGCTGGTAGCTCTGATCTTCAGCTCTCCCCACGGATCGTACTGTATAAAATACAGTACAGTACAGTACTGGCAAAAAAACACCTCCAGATGATTTATAGGTTTTATTCGACAAACTCACCGTGCTTTGTTAACAGCTGTTACCGTGACTCTTTCTGCTGTATCACACGCAGAGTTTCTGTTATGTTTAAGACTGAGCGCTTGTAATGAGCAGTGAACTTTATCGTCAGGCCCAGCTTTCCATGTGGGGGGAATTTCACCGATGACTCCGGGGTTATCGGCAGCCAGGGTTACCCGGGGGTGTACCCGGCCAACAGCAAGTGCGTCTGGAGGATCACGGTAAGGGGGATGCTGCCCACCGCCCTAAACATTGGCTGATCTGCAGATACGTCTCAATTTTCGCTATTAAATCTTACACAATCCGTGCAAGATTTAAGTATTTGTAACTCTGGATCCGGATTAATCTGTAATTTGTCAAAAACATATTTGCAGTGCTTACAAAACAATTATTGCGCTGTTTTTTCTTAATTTCATAACGTTTCAGGCAACTGTAAGATGTTTACAATCTTGAAAATTGGATTGTGATTTTGTGCTGTAATAAGAGATCGCACTTTGCACAATAAGATTTTATTCAACGTCTCCGCAAGCGATAAAACGATAAAAAGTAATCAGAATAAAATCGTACTAAGCAAAGTTCGACCTCTTCTTGTCATAGTTAATCGACTTATTTTTGCGGTCCAGCTCTCTGGTAATGGTGTTATATCACTAGGAGTGAAGTCCGTTTTTCTGTACTTTATTGTAACAAAAAAAAAAAGAAATTCCTGTTTCCTGTGATTGGTATCTTATATCTGCTGTAAATTATATATAATGAAAATGTGCACGGTTATTATACCTTATTGTCATTAAGTTCCATTAAGTGTCATTAAAAATTCCACTGTATTTTTTATTATTTAGAATATTTTGCTATTTAATGAGCAGGTCTGTTTACATATGTCTGACCTTCCAGTGACTGTTCTGTCTGATTTCTGCATGGACAGTGACTTTTCTGTCTGATTTCTGCATGGGAAGTGACTTTTCTGTCTGGTTTCTGAATGGACAGTGACTTTTCTGTCTGATTTCTACATGGGCAGAGACTTTTCTGTCTGATTTCTGCATGGGCAGCGACTTTATTGTCTGATTTCTGCATGGGCAGAGACTTTTCTGTCTGATTTCTGCATGGGCAGAGACTTTTCTGTCTGATTTCTGCATGGGCAGTGACTTTTCTGTCTGGCTTCTGAATGGGCAGCGACTTTTCTGGCTGATTTCTGCATGGACAGCGACTTGCAGGCTGCTCTCCTGCCTGTTTCTGGATTTTTTTGTGAGATTCTCCCTGCTGCCTCTCACAGGTCCCTGAGGGGAAGGTGGTCGTCCTCTCATTCCGCTTCCTCGACCTGGAGAGTGACACCTTGTGCCGCTATGACTTTGTGGATGTGTACAGCGGACAGTCTCCAGGCCACCGGCTCGGGCGCTTCTGCGGGACGCACCCTCCAGGGGCCCTCGTCTCCACGGGCAACAAGATGGTCGTGCAGATGGTGTCTGACGCCAACACGGCCGGCAGCGGCTTCCTGGCTGTGTACTCGGCAGCCAAGCCTCACAAGCAAGGTGAGGGAGAGATTGCATGGATGGGTGTGTACAGAACACGAGTCCAGTCAGTAACCAGTAAAACCAGAGCAACAGAGAGAGAAAAAAAACAGAAGCCCAGAAATCACAAGGCTGTTTTGACAGTTTGAGCATATCTCTTAGGCTGCTTTAAACAAAAAATGCATCACTATTTCCTAATGCAATATGAAATGTTTCAGAGATCTTATGGTTACTGACCTGGACCAAAATATTTATCTTCTCTGGAGTGCCAGTGTTGCGTTGACTGACTGTTGCGCTGACTGTTGTTGAGCCGGACTTCCTGGGACTTCAAAAGGCTGAGGGGTCTGTATCCCAAGCGGAGCCCTGGACAGTCCCTTGTCCTTCTGCTACATTCCTGTGTCGTGGAGAATGAGGTTGAGGACCGCTGTGGTCTCTGGTTACTGGTTGGTTCCTGTGATGTTTGATGACAGGCTAGAAGGTGGTCGCCATGTTGAGTCATCACAGAGCTAGTAATTACGAGGGCAGTGTCACAGCATGGATTTAAAGTCAGCCATTTTTAACTACAAAGCTACGCCGGGGCCTAACGCCCTCATTTGTCATTACAGCCGCCAGACAGAGGCGCGTTTGGGCAGCTACAGTCTGGGTGCTGGTGTTTTATTCCTGCTCTGTATAGCTGCCGAGGTTGTTTTCAGGAGAATGACTGGAATTGTCGGGAATTTTGGAAAGGAGAGCAGTATTGCGGGGGCCGCCTGGAGAAACCGGCAGGGTCCTTCAAGACCCCCAACTGGCCAGAGAAGGACTACCCAGCCGGTGTCAGCTGCTTCTGGCACATCGTGGCCCCCAGGAATCAGGTGAGCGTGACACCAGCAGAGAAACACAAAGCGAGACCTCATAGGGAAAGACTCCGCTCAGTAACCGTTCCTGTGACGGTGTGTCTGCACCCCCCACCCACCCCATACAGATCATCGAAGTGAAGTTCGAGAAATTTGATGTGGAAAGAGACAACTACTGTCGCTATGACTACGTGGCCATTTTCAATGGGGCGGAAATCAACGATGCCAAGAGGATCGGGAAATACTGCGGCGATAGCCCTCCGGCGTACGCACACGATCCGGCCGCCATCGGTCCTGGAGATAAGTTGCCACCCGCTGTGTGACGGGCCTGGTATCACTACAAGGCGCTGTATACGCTACCTGATTTCAGGCTTGGGCTGTAGCTGTTCGACATCATGCTAAAGTCATCACCGCTTCTTGCTCCTCTAGCCAGGCTAATGTGCTCTTCTCCTTCTCAGCCCTGTCTTCTCTAATGGGAACCAGCTCTTCATTCAGTTCCTCTCTGACCTGAGTCTCACAGCAGATGGCTTCATCGGCCATTACAAATTCAGGCCCAAGAAATTCTCCACTACCACCGTGGCCCCCACCACAACGAGTCCCCTGGTCATGACCAGAGCCACAAGTAGGTGTCTTCATCCTGCTCACTGCTGCTGGTTTTACAGCCGTGGTGAGGATTTGAGCACGACGACCGGACAATCAGGTCAGAACTATCCTAGACCCAAGCTTAGAGTTAAAAGGACTAAGCACTGATGATAATATCACACCTGCTGCTGATCTCAGGTCAATTGCTGAGCCAGAACGTTAAGTTTTGCCTGTTGAGAGTTCTTCCCACGCCGTTGTGGAAGCTTAGCCTGCAGCCTTCATAAACCACAGCTGGTATTTTCACAGACATTAGTCTGCAGCAGGTGACTAATCTGGTCCATTAAAGCTGGAGTGAGCTGGGTCCGGCTGTTTTTGGGTCACGCGCACACGCTGACTGTACTTTGAGGGTGTCCGTAACATTTCAGGCTTTGCTCTGACCCTTTGAAGGGCGGTAATGAGAGGGAGGCTGAGCCAGCTGATGTTCTGTGACCCCCCAGATCTGAAGTACTCAGCAGCGCTGTGCCAACCGAGGTGTGAGCAGAGCGGTGCCCTCGAGTGGCATTACTGCTCCAGCGATTTCGGTAAGGACCCCCCCCCGCGGGCCTGAGTGCGTCTGAGCCAAGGGGACCAGCTGACGTGTCCCCCCCCCTCCCGGCCACTCTCCAACAAGGGCCTGTTTTCAAGCTCCAGCACCATCTTTGGCTTGGCGGTTTGTGTCTGTGCCTCAAAAGATTCCTTGAGGATTTTCGGCCAGGAACAGGGGATGTTGTGTATCTTGCTAAGCCTGCAGTGAGAGAGGGCAAGCTGTCCCAGAGTGAAAGTGTCGATTCACTTGCAGTCTTGGCTGGTCCCTCACCCTGACCAGCCTGAGTGTCCGTCCGCAGGAAATGTTTACCGAATTCAGACTTAATGCAGATTTCTCAACAAAGTGGAAAAATACAGCACAGATACCTAGTGACTTTGAAAACACTTGTTTTTCAACTCAATTACTGTTATTTAGAAAAAGTAGAATTTCAAAAGCTCATAACATAGGCTAATTGTTATGCAGATCAATATTTCAGAAACTGCTTTATTTGGAGTGACTGTCGTTGTTATAGCGTAGTTATAATCTTCCATGGGAATTCTGGCTTTGGATCAGGAGAAAAAAGCTAAATAAATAAATGATTATTCCTGTCACTGCTTTTTCGATTTGGCCTTCTCCCAGATGAGGGATGTAACAGACGTTGTCTAAACCAAACTGGAAATGTTTTGCTGTGGTGGGAGATCCACAGGGACAGTTGCGGTACGATTCGGCGAATATCTGGTGGGGCGATCCTCTGACAGCCCGGCTCTGTTTGCAGTGATAACAGGCACGGTCATCTCCACTGTGACTCGGGGAGGCAGTGTCCACGCCAGCATCTCCATCATCAGTGTCTACAAGGAGGGGAAGCTCTCCATTCAACAGGCGGGCAAGTCGCTGAGCACCAAGATCATCATTCTGTGCAAGAAATGCCCCTTCATCAGGCGAGGTGGGTCGGCATCTCTCAGACCTCGCTGTGTTTCCACAGCGTCGCTAAGAGGTTGGCAGTCTCTCCACAGCCGTGCTGGATGAGAAGGTGAAGGAATCAAGGGCCTTGTATCATGTGCATTCGTGAGGAGTATAATTCAGAGAAAAGATGTTTGCATATTCTTAAGTTCTTAAATTTTAGTTGTACACTAGTGGCCAAAATTGTGGAAACACTTCCAATTTTTAGATATCGCAGAATTTTATTCAACTCTTGCTCCAGCTACTTAAGTGCCCAATGTATGATATTTGTAACATTTTTTGATTATTTATGAACATTACTGCCAGCATTCGTGTAGTATTTTTTAAAACATAATGCCAAAAATGCTCGGTGTTTCCACAATTTTGGCCACTTGTATATCAAGCTGACTGTAAGCTGTAGTCTTTTCCTAAACCAAGTGCCAATTTGACAGAATTTATTGAAGTCATTGATAGTGTAAAAGTTACAGTGATTTGATATTGGGGGGGGATGCAGCTTGATAATTTAAATGAAAAGTCTATTTTCAATATAGATATAGGTCAAATTAAGTATTGGGGGGTACATATCCCCCCACTTCCTATGCCCCTAGTTATGGCCCTGATTACGGTCATGGTTCTGGTTATGTGTTGGAAGTGTCTGGATCCTCTGCTGACTTTCACTCTCCCTGAATGTCTCTGCTGCATTCAGTCCATGGTTGTTGGGTCTCGCCAGGTCTCAGCTACGTCTTCATGGGCCAGGCCGACGCGCAGGGCCGCGGCAAAGTGGCGCCGCACCACTTCATCGGGGTCATCAAACCCAGCACTCAGAAAAGCCTAAACACACTCAGGAACAAGCGATGCTGAGCTGTCATCAATTCGCTGCAGGCCGTGACGCTCCCTCTGCATGAAGCCTATCGGAGACTGTTTGGACAAGCCGTAATGGTGTCCACCAACATGTCGAAAAGCGTCCTTCTTGCTTGTGCTGCGTGTAATGGAGGGAGCAGGACCTTTTCCCTGTGGCTGCATAAAGTGCAATATTTAAAAAAAAAAAACACAGTGTCCTCTGTTTGGCTGTTCTGTAAATGACTGGGTCTGATTCTGTCCCGTGGGAGATTGGCCTTGTTATGTGTATCTTTGCCTAAATATAATTGCCTATTTAAAGCAATACCTTTGACTTGTGTCCAAGGTGTGAAGCAGTATTTTGTATTTATCGAAGTTTATCATGAAATCAGGCTGATAAAATGCATATAAAACTTGAATGTTGGTGTTTTGGGAACATGCAATAGGAAGTTTCCAGAACTCTCCAAGTACAGGGTCATGCCGGCTGGAGTGTCGAAAGATGGGTGTGTCGACAGGAAAAGAATGTGGCGACGTAGGTGGAACCAAGCACGTAATTTCCCATGCGTTTTGGTGAGGGAAGTGTAAACAAGCTTATATCATGCGTTGTATAAACAAATATAAGCAATAATTTAATTATAGATATCTGTTTATCTTAATTATTGCATAAGCTGTATGTTTGGTAAATATCTGGTCTCTTTCTGAAATGATGTCTATCGAGCGCATTCAGAGTCAAGAGAAATAACCTTTTGACATGCCTGCACACGTCACCCTTCGACTCACCCAGTACTGAGAGACTTGCATCTCTATCTCTATGGCCACGTTGCTAATTACAAAGGTTTGTGGTGAGAGGGTGCTGTTGCTCCTCATTATAACCCGTAAGATGGCCTGAAGCAGAGCGGTAACCTTGACTGCCCCTAGGAGGGATGCAGACCGACCTCATTAGAATGATCATGGCCTCCTGAGCAGCTGCACATGGTCAACGTATAAAAGGCCAAAATAAGCCAATGAAAAGCCACTTCCTGCACAGGTCATCGCCAGATGTCATGATGCCTGCTCAGGTTGTGCTTATGAATCGTCTGTTAGTGTCATTAAAGATGAGAAGCAGCAATCATACCGAACCCATCGCCTTTACAGCGAAACCTGTTTTCAAGAGGCAAATGCAACCTATGGTCCCCTTCGTACTGTCATACAGGGTCTAGCCAGAGAGGGCGCTCTTACTGGAGAAATATGACTGCTCATCGGGCATTTCAGGAAGCCGAAAAAAGAAGCATAACCAGTCTTTTCCATAAATCTTTATTCCTTTTTTTGTTGTAAAGATAAGCAATTTTAGAAAACAAGACTGTGAAAGCATTTTGTACAAGGCTGTGGTGTTGGGCTGGGGTGTTGGGCTGAGGTGTTGGGCTGGGGTGTTGGGCTGAGGTGTTGGGCTGGGGTGTTGGGCTGTGGGGCAGGTGTTTGGCAGGCTCTGGGGTTCCCCGTTTCCACATGGGCCTCTGAGCATGCTAGGCTGGGGAGCAGGTTTAGCTTCTGGGGTAGAACATGGCGTATTTGGAGGTACGGAAGCCCAGCAAGTCCCTCATCTCATTACGAAACTTGGAGAGATCCTGCCGGAGGTCATTGAGGTTCTCCACTGTGGCCTGGTCCGTGCTCTGCATCTTCTGCCGGGTGGATGTCAAGTAGCGGTGGACCAGGCAGCACATGATCTTCTGGTAGTTCTCGTCACGCTTCTGCTTCAGGTTCTTCCATTCCTGTGCATGGAAACGCAAATGGGCATCAGCGTGAGGGAGATTTTCAGAACCAATTAGCTTTCAGACAAAATCAGACAGGAACATGTGAGGAAAAATCATAAACTACCAGACATGTGAGATGTATGGATGACGTCTGCATTACAGAGCTATGAAGGGAGCTGCCCATAAACACTCTCCAGGGCTCCCCTAGCAGGCTGTTCACTGCTATGATGCAGGAGAACCTTCACTTCTCCTTTCTGGGTACCATACTCTCACTCCCAATAAAGTACCAAGAATAGATACGGAATAACTTTGGGCCGTAGAAGTGCCTGCTATTTTTGGTATGTTGTAAAAACCTCTCCCCCTCATGCTCCAATCCTGTGCAGATAAAGAGGGTTTTTATGGTCTGGGGGCCAGTTTGTGGGGGAACCTTGGGCTTTCGTGTTCACTGACTTACTTTGAGGCTGTTCTGCCGCTTGACCTTCCCCGTGGACGTGTGGGAGCAGATCCACTTCCTGAGGCTGGTCACCAGGTAGCAGACGGTCTTCGGCGAGGGCACGATGTTGAACGGCGGGGGCAGGGTACACTTGTCGTCGAAGTAGCTGAGCCACAACTTGGCCCTGGCGAACTTCCACTCCTTGTCCTCGTGGTTCTAAGCCGTCGTGGGCGAGAAGGTGTGAGAGATCACATACCCTGGGAGACTGAAGTGCCTTCCTGCTCAGGTAAATAGCAGGAACAGGTAGAATAAAAAACCTACTGGACATAGGTGGAAATTTCAGGTCCAGAGTGTACAAATCCAGACCAAGATTTTGTTTCAACCAACCAGTTAAGTACTCTGTAACTGTGACTCTTTATTCTTTATAACTGAGAGAATCAGCTGTCTCAAATTCATTCAGGCACTGACACATCCTCAAAGCAGTGGACCATTCCCAAAGGCCCCGCTGAGGCCATTTCTAATATCCTTCACACAAGCTGACAGGGTCGGCCTCCACTCACCGCTATCTGCCGGAAGCTCTTGTGCAGCATGGCCACCAGCAGCTTGGTGAGGACGATGACCACCACTATGTTGTAGGTGCCCACGATGAGTGCCCCCACGAAGGAGCGCAACTCCTGCGTGTAGCTGATCCGGGTGACAAAGAGCGGCACATGCGCCAAAGAGAAGATGTACCAGAAGAGGTTGTAGCATGTGCCGATGAACCTATGGTGAGAGGAGAGAGACTGATTTTCACATGCGCCCTCTATTGGTGGGAGATGGGAGAACGCAAAAAAAAAAAATAGTTCCACGTACGTGTGGAAGTCCTTATCGCCACTTTTGGAGAGGTCCTTCTGTTCTTTACCATAGAGCTGCGTCAGGCCAATGGTGAAGGAGATGAGGACCAGTAGGAACAGGCCCAGGAACCTGCCAAACTCCTGTAGCATCTGACCCATGGATATCTGTGGACAGAGAGCCCTGGCACTGAGCTTCCCAGAGGGTGCAGAGAACCACATCTTATCTGTGGATGTTTGCTCAACTTAAATGTGGCACCCGGGATGAAAATGAATAACAAATAAACAAATGTTGGGAAAATAAAGACGTTGTGTTCATTTTTACACATTAAGCCCCTAGGTGTCCTTTTTCCATCCTGGGGACTGCAACACAGTGCCGGTCCTTCACCGCCGACACACATCACTGTAAATCTCAACTCCGCAGTTATATCATCCCACAGAGGAACACTGGCCAGGCTGTACCGGCGCTACCGACCCGGCCCAGACGGACGCCAGCCCAGCCCGGCCTGCCTCTATGAAGCCTCAGTGCTCCTGCTTGGGTGCTATTTTTAGCCCTGAAGGTGCAGCTCCACCTAGGGCCGGACGCAGAGTGGGGGTGTCCGCGCTCCTTACCTCCCGCCTGTTCAGAGCGTAAGATACGTGCAGCTGAGCCCGGAAGGAATGTCTCAGACACACAGCTGGGGCCTTAAACCCAAAACCACTGTGTCCACAAAGATGTAGACCTACCCCCCCCCAGTCGAAATCCCGGGGAGACCCTCCTCCCCTTCCCGTAAGGCCCCATGATCGTGACCCGGTCCCTCCGAATGCAGCATCTGTTAGAAATACGGAATAATTATGCTTAAACGGCCAGCGCTATCATGAGAATTACAGCTTTTGCAGGTAGTAACCACTCCTCTGTACTTTTTCTCTTTATCGAGCCGTAATCTGTGACTGTTAACAGTCACACTCCCTGCACAGGGACATCATCCAGGCTGGAGTATAAACAGGCTGCCGTTAAGGAGTTATTACCTTTAAGAGAAGCAGGTCACCAGCAGTTACTGTTTACACTTAGCAAAGGCGCTATACTGTGGAAGGATGCTGAAGACTAAATCAGAGAAATACGAGACAGGCTTGTTTATGTTCCGGATCCTCTCCAGAGGTCCTTAACACTGGTTGGGAGATTTGCGTTTCTGCCTGGAACGTTCTGGAAACAGCCGGCAAACAGACATTAACGCTGCCGAGTTAAAGGGTCCCTCTGAGAAGGTTCTCCATCCTGCAGCAAAGTCTGGATGGATCTGGGGTTCTGGCTTGATCATCCCAGCGGGGAGGTGGGGGGGGGATAAGCGTCTCAGCAGGAAGTACCTGTAAGGGGCCCAGGATGGAGCTGGTGGTGTACATGAAGAAGAGGCGCAAGTAGCTGAGCACGTTGGCGAATGCGAAGAGTCCCTCAGCCACCAAGATGGGGTGGAACGCGTCCCAGTTCTTCCTCTCTGTGTCCTCCGCGTTCTTAAACTGCAAGCAGAGTCAGGTGTCGGGTACTGTAAGGACATGCCTGTGTGCTTAACGGTCATGTGACACCACGTGTTAAAGCAGGACATTGACGCATGACACAAAGATCATTCTGGAATAGATCTGTGTTAGACGTTACTTTGTATGGGGCTGGAAACCAGTGGATGACCAGGAATGCTGCCAAAAAGCATCTGTAGTAGGAGGACTGGGTATGATGCATAAGCCACTGAGCGCTGAGGGGGGGGGTCACAGTTTGGGGGAGTGGGGGTCACCTTGCTGTGGGCCACCACCTTGAGTGCGAAGGTGGCCAAGTACAGTGAGTTCATGACGAAGCTCAGCTGGTTGCGTGACTCCTCCAGGAAGTCCTCGAGACCCTCGTACCAGAGGCGCTTCACGTCCGACCACACCATTCCTGACAAGGGACAGGGGACACGGGACATGGGGTCATGGGGTCACATCGCACAGTGCAGTGACACTCACAAGACAGGTTACCACTTCACAGCTCTCAATGCAGCAGCACCTGCTGGTCTTAAGGCCTTAAAGTTTTCAGAAGCTTCAGAAGACCAGAGTGAAGCAGTAAAGAACTGGTATGTAATGGTGTCACCCAGGGGTGTCGTAAAGTGGGGGGGGGGGATGAATTAGGATGTGACAGGGGCCCTACAAATTTGGAACACAACTAGATTGGTCTAGGTTGGGGGCCCAATATGATATGCTTCCATGGGGTCCAAAATCTCTAGTAGTGCCCCTGGTGTCACTGTCAGAAATCAGGCACAAGGGGTGGGGGTCTATCTCACCCACAATCCAGAGGATGAGCAGGTAGTCGATCATCTCCAGCGCCGGCCCCATTGTGTTCTTCTTGCCCTCGTTGTAGACCAGCGAGTAGAGGTTGAGCAGCAGCAGGAAGGTGAAGTAGGAGGCGCTGTGGATGATGAACTTGACGAAGGGTGTGTGGATGATGCAGCCGACGCGCGAGCGGGGGAACAGCAGGTAACAGACGGACAGGATGGGCCAGAGCAGCGCAACGCTCAGCACTGTAAAGATCTTCAGGAAGGTGTGCTTCCGCCGATAGCTGGCCGTCTCGCCGAACCACACCGTGTTCAGGAACTGCTGGCAGTTAGACTGGGCCACAAACTGGGAACCAAGGGATGGTGGTGATTGAGACACTGAGATTTCAATTCAATTCATTTTTATATAGCGCCTTTCACAACACAGTCTCCCCAAGGCAAGAATAATACATGTGATGCATGAAGCAGGGGAATGTGAAAATAAGAAAGAAAGAAAGAAAGAAAGAAAGAAAGAAAGAAAGAAAGAAAGAATGCCAGAAGACACTGGAGGGAAGAAAAAAATTCTCTGGGGGTCCAAGGTAGATTGGCTGCCCAACTCCCCCCACAGCATGCTAACATTATTTATCACAGAAAATGTGGGCCATTTTCCTGCTGAAAAGACAGAGGGAGTTCACCAGTTATGTAACCGTGTAGAATTAAAAAAATTGTGTGAAACACGGTAAGAAAAAGGTGTTGTTTTCCCTGGCTTCACCGTCTGATGGGCTGTGAAAATCGGGTCAGCACAGCAGATGTGTGAAGGAACTCCATGGGTCAATTATTACATCATTTCCTGGAAGCGCCTCAGAGGTCAGTGGAATCTGATTCTGATTGGCCGGTTTCAATTCAGCTTATTGTACTTGGTAGAAAAATGTATTACATTTTAAAAAATCATGACTTATCATTTAACACTTAAAGCCATTCTTCTCGCTCAGTTTGTGGTTCTGCCCCGCCTACCTCCTTCTGGTTGTACTTGATTGCCAGCTTGAGGCGACTGAGGTTCATACGATCTTCCAGCAGACCCCGCTTGTCCACATGGTCGTCGCTGGACGTGTGGTTCAGGATGACCTCCAGCTCACGCGAGTTTCTCGCCTGGGCCAGGAGGTCCTTGGCAAACATCTTGCACTGCTTGGCCAGCTCCTCATAGTCGTTCCTGCATCGGGAACAAAACGGGGATCAGTAGCGGCTTTCTGAGTCAGTGCCGCTGGGGTCCGAGGCTAAGAACACTCTGGAAAGAGCCCCCATTCCATAACACACTCGCTCACGTTAAGCACTAAAGTCTGACACGGCCTGTGTCAGGCCAACCAGGAACATGCTAGAGATCAGGCACCAGAATCTGGGTCCTGCATTATTCTCTAGAGCATAAACATTCCAGAGTGATCAAAGGCTTAAACACTGTTTAACATACTGATTCAGGTTATTTGCTGAAAGTGACCAAACACAGTAATTGTCCAGGGTTTCAGTTCACTTCAAAACCCAAACATCTGCAAAATCCAGCCCCCCCCCCTCCCCCACACCCAGCTGTAAGAGGCTCCCTTGGACCTATGATCATACAGCCTGCGAATGACGACCATCTGAGGATCTCGTCGAGGGGGGCGGGTCACCTTGAGCCACCAATGCAGAATGAGTGAAGGGCTTCACCTGAACTCCACCTCCACCAGGCTGAGCTCCCTGAGGTCGGTGCTCAGCTCGAAAGCCCTCAGGATGGGGTCCTCTTCTGTCAGCATGATCAGAGATGGGCTGGAGAGGCAACGGTAGATATCCAGCCGGAACCTGTGGGGTGAGATACCGGGGGGGGGGGGTTGGGTTATGTAATTAAGAGGGGTGAATACACACCCCCCATGACAAGTGATGGAGCAAAGGGATGTAGTCTGGGGGCCAGCAGGAGGGTACCAGGTTTTCAATGACACTGAGCTCAGGAAAGTGACTCTGTCACATGACCTTGGCCCCGCCCACTCTCCCAGAGACATGCCTGGAGTGGCGCAGGCTGTCCTTCTTGTTCTTGGCGTTGCAGAGCGTGCACTCGCAGCCCACAGCGTGGGGCCGCGGCAAGGAGATGTCCTGCTTCAGCAGCATAGTCAGGATCTCGTAGTTGTTCCTGTGAGCTGCCAGGATCACCGGCACCACATCCATGGTGGTGGAGTACTCTGGGTTCTGAATGCGCTGCATCAGTTTCTACATGGGGAGGCAGAGCAGAATTCAGGGGCCCCGCCCACAGTCTCCCCACCTGATCAGCAGCCCCACTCTGATAGGTCCATTTGATCGATGCTCATTAGCAAAGCCTGCCCCTTCCATGACTGTCAGCCATGATCCACCCAGGAAACCCAGAGCATGTGATTATTCATACAGCCCAGGTACTAATTAATGACACTTTTGGTTAAACTGTTAGAGTAACATTTCACTAAATTCCTTCTGAAAATGGGAGATTTGTTTTACTTCACCAGCAAATTACTTCCAACCCATAGATAATTAATTGTTCATTACAGTTCTTTAACCAACATGAGTTTACTTTGCAAGTAGCGGCTAATGAATGTGCATTGTCGGCATTCAATATGTACATGACACACGTCCCTGGCTCCTTAAAAACAGATATCATACTTTAAGAATTATATGAGGTGCAATTCACACGACGGCTCATCGAAAATTGGTTAAAAATGAATTTGCCTAACCTTTACGAAGTACCGGTGACTGATAGTAACTGATTAGACAACGTCACATAACACCATATAATGAGATCACTGCTGAGCGGTGAGTCTGACCGGACCGGGGACTGACCGCCATGGAGGGCTTCGAAGATCTGCGCGGCCGATGATTCAGCAGGATATCCACGGCACCCACCACCTCGGAGTCGATAGCAACCAGGAGGGCATCATTCCCCTGGCCGGGGGGGGGGCAGTAGGGGCAGGGGAGGGAGAGAAAGCATTAATCATGAGCTCAGATCAGCATCAGATGGGCTGAGGAGCAGACATCACCAGTTTACACACGGTTAACCACACAAGACTGCAACCAAGACAAAGCTTTGCCAAGATTATTTAGATGGACCTTTACTGAAGTGTTTGTTCGCCCATTCATTCAGATGCCATCAGAGAGCCTTACGGTCAGGAATAGCCCTGACCTGCAGAAGATGAGCTGATGTTTCAGTTAGATGCTTCTTCCGCCTGCAGAGCTGCTGGCCAGCCTTCAGATACATCCAGGAAGTGATGTAATAATTGACCCCTAGAGTGTCTTCACAAATGTGCCGTGCTGTAATACTTGTGTGCATGTAAGCTACAGTGTCTGTAGCTGTGTGAGTGGCTATGTTCCCATACCTGTAGGTGTGTGAAATGTTGCCATGGCACCCACAGTGGTGTAGATCAGCATCGCCCCCTGTTGGCCACACAGGACGCACATGAGCTGTACCTGGCAGCCGTGTTCCAGCAGCAGCTGGAGGATGTCCAGGTTCTCGTTCTCGATTGCGATGGTGACGGCGTCCCGGCCAAGCACATCCACGCAGTTTATGTTCAGCTCCCCACGTGACTTCTCTTCCAGAAGCTTCTTTACCATGTAGTAGTCACCTTGAGTTACACAAAGAAACACGCGATGTCAGAGGGGACACCCAAAGCCAGCCGCCTCTGTTTGCATGGTGAACCGGAACAACATCCACCTGTCAGGACATAGAGCCTCCCAGCTGACATACTTAGGGTACCTTTATTGACACCAGTGCTCCCAGTACAAGTTAAAGTGCACACAGCATTTCCAGCCACGGGGATTAATAAAGTGTAAATTATTATTATTATTAAACATTGCAGAGTATAAATCACCGTTATTATGAAAAACAAATTCCTGTACAAGCCCCCTTCCACATCAGCGGAGTTTAGGAAGATACAATCTAAATTTAGTGCTATACCGAAAATCCATAACCTCACCCGATGAATCCCACTTTAAACCATTTCATATCTAAGAAATCCGTTTAGTGGCAAAAACACAGTGTGTTAGTTGATATGACAATCTACTTTTCAAAGAATATACGGCACTCTCTCACACATAGGCCTACACCACTTTCTCTACAAATAAACACTCTTCCAGATTATTTCAAACTGCAAACTATTTAACTGAATTCAGAAAACGTCGAATATGAATCGTTATTACAGTTTAACTTAAAAAGCAGGCAGATATTACTGATGACCGCACTGCACGCGGTGCGATGCAGATCCTTAACAACCACCCAGAGCGAGGCAATGGGAATCTGCGCCTCGCTTTCCCCGCGCGAGGTTTCGGGGATGCCCATTTGCGCTGGGGACGCCCCTCCCCACCTTTCTCGCAGGCCAGCAGGAAGAGCTTCTCATCCAGCGTCGTTTCCTCCTTCACTTCCCTTACGTCTTTGAGCGCTAAATACTTATCTGGTGAGGACGCGTCCGTCCCCTGGTACAGAGCAGCCATTACCACGGACAGCGAGTACGGCAACACATTGATGTGCATCCCACATAAGCGAGCGGAGAGCCCCGGTGCGGTTTGCAGGACAGATCCCTGATTATATTCCCGGTGTTGGATTGCCGGATTGTTATTATCCCGGACGGTGCCCTTTGCGTCGCATGTGACAATCCGTGTTTAAACCTCTGTTCCAGAAATGGAGATGGTAATGGAGATTGGCTCTCCTCGAATGAAGCAGTGCGGGTATAAATACGGGGAGGTTTCCGCGCGTTCAGGGCGCTCCGCTCACTGCCATCCTGGCGCTAGACGCTCGACGCAATCTGGTCCTGATGATGGAGACACGTCGTGCTGCGCATGCGCACCACATCCACCTGCGCCGATGCTGGAGCTCGGCCATGTAGCCTCTTACGTAACGCATCTGAAATTCTTAAAAGCATCACATTACCAGCCGCCCGCGATGAGCAATACACCTTTCTCACCTTGACTGGCCGTCTGTCATTATCTTCATTTTAAAATAGGTGCTCGTACTGGAAAATGTCGTTTTAAGATGCGCTTAAGTCAATGACTGAAGTCAAGATAGACCCAATTAACAGTTCACACAATTTCCCTTTTCAAAGTTACACGTTTATTTAAAAAAAAAAAAAGAAAAGAAACAATGTATACCTCTGTTAGAGTCGGCGTGCGGGCGAACAGGGAAGTAGGCGAGAGAGCCGGGAATACACTAAAACGGGGTTTATTCAGGGCAGATAACAAAACCACGTTACACAACATCAATGACAGATCTGGGAAGACTAACAGACGTGGACTAAATACACAGGACAAGCCAAGAGGAACAGAAAACAGGTTATGACAATCGGGAATTAACACGAGGTAACGAGGTGGGCGTGACACACACGAGGATCGGACGAGCTGGACGTAACAACCACTAACTAAACTGCTTTGAGATATGGCGTGACAGTCTGTAATGTCACTTTTGTATTATTTTACGTCTCTTTTTAAATGAATGCATATAGACCTTGTAAGTGTTATGTTTTAATCTTTTTTTTCCCAAACTTGCAGTTCAGCTGGTGCAGACTTCAACACAGATTCCTTTTGAATGTTATATTTTTAAATATGGCAGTGTAAGTATTGTAGTTACTTGACAATATGATTCATTGTGCATTTTTAAAGTACAACATACGTGTATGTAGGCTACATTTAAAGCACCTTACACTAATTTCTCAAAAATCTTCTTTATTGAAACAGAAATTCAAAATCAGGCATGGTTTTGGTTTTTATTTATTTATTTGACTTGGGCATCTTGTTTCGCTTGGAAATTGCAGACTGTTGCTATGGAGACCTGGCATCATGCTATCAACAGAGTGGATACTGTATTCTTCTGAAGCATGTTCTCCAGGTGGATTGTGGTTGTCATGCACTTCGATCTGACTACTCTGACACCACCAATCGGTGACATACCTTCATTCCACAACTTAACTTTGGCAGAAAGGGTGTAAATCTGTCAGGACACAGAAATGACTAATATGGGTGATTGTGTTGTGTGGGTGTGTGTGAGAATGAAAGAGAGAGAGAGAGAGAGAGAGAGAGAGAGAGAGAAATAAGGAGAGTTTTAACCATATAACAATATAACATAAAGAAGTAGAAACTAGGCTATATATTAGATAATTATCAAGGGCTTATTATGATAACTGAAAAAGCTCATGTTTCCATTTCCAGTCTATTAGGGTATCGCTTGATCTGACGACCCATTTTGTTTTCTGCTTCTGGTTGATTTTTGTTTCACACAGACTGAATGAGCCTCATCTTAGATCGCAGGGTATTTCATAGGAATGATCAAGCCTTTAGAACCATGTTAAAAGTCTCCATGGCTCAGAACAAAACAAGAATCACCCCTTCAGGAGAAAAGCTTCCAAAGGGAACGGATCATGCATTGTCTCGCTCTGTTACACAGGCAAGCGCTGTTAAGATTTTCACCTGCACCGATTCAGCACCAGAACTCTAACAAACTCACTGCCTACTCAATAATAATAATAATAATAATAATAATAATAATAATAATAATAATAATAATAATAATAATTTACTTTGAATAATTGCGCATTTGTAACGTTGTCCCAACGCAGCCAAAGGGACTGTGCAGTCCTCTTGCAATAATGCTTCCCTCCAGTAGGTGGCGTGGTGTATCCGCCTCTCACAGCCCCTCCATGCATGACGACAAAGGGAGGATGAAGCAACAATGAAGCTACTCATATGGAATGTTGGGACCCGTTTGGCGAGTGACGATTATTTTGACTTCTGAGGTCTCATTGAAATAAATGGGAGGTGATGTTTTCCTACGAGGTATTGTGATTTTTTGCAATGCATAAAACATAAACAACAATACTGGGAACAATACTTGTTTTCAGCACCAGTTCTGACGTGTACCGAACGGTTTGCAGGACTACCGCGTCAGGGCAGTCTAGTTATACTCTCATTCCATGAATTACGCCCGGATTCACTGAAGCAATGCTTTTGTTTATCAATATGTGAAGCGGGTATAGAATGAATAAAATGTGCTCACTTCGTAGCCGACAGATGGCGCTCCGCTTAAAGTTACATGGTCATACAGATAATACTTAATTGCTTTTATTTTTAAAAATGTTTTTCTTATATATCTGAGTATAACTCGTGTTCGTTGGCTTCCAATAGAAAATCGAAATTGGTCAAATTTGTTATTAACTAAGTCTTAAAAATAAGTTATGCATGTATTCCTCTGAAAAATGGTGCACAATTAAATGCCTGGCTTCAGACCTCTATTACTTTACAAATTCATCCTCTCTTTGCTACAAAATCAAGACGTCATACTGGCAGTCTAAGGAAACAGGTAAAGTAGTGAGGTTTGGGTTGAAGTTCTTTGGGGACTTCTGAAAGGCAGAACAGCTTGAGCCTTGGAGAGAGTATCTCAATTCTTTCTTCCTAATTAAGTGACCCTGGAGTGTGTCAGAACAGAACAAAACATTAGACAGAGGTCAGGCCTCCCTCATCACTTGCTGGGCAGTGCCCCCTGATGGCTGCTGAGGTCAACCAAAATAACTGCCACTGACATGATACTGATTCTGTACGCCACACAGAATAGACAGTACCATCGCAGAACGGACGGTATGTCATGCAGAACAGAAAGCACACCACGCAGGACAGACAGTCAGCTACAGGGGACAGACAGTAAACCACAAGGTAAACAGACATTGTGTCACAAAGGATACACAGAATGCTATGCAGAACAAACATTTCATCACACAGAAAAGACAATATGTTGTGTAGAACAGGCATTAAATCAGGCAGAACAGAGAACACACCACGCAGGGTAAACAATACGTCACGCAAAGCAGATATTCACACTCCAGATGCATGGGCAGAACTCAACTGTTCCACTTGATGCTGAAATGGAATGACTCAGTAAATAAATGGGGGTGTTTTTTTTTATTGAGGACTGAGTACAAAGGCACTTTTTCAAGAGGCACTACACTGTCCAGGTGAAGAGAGGCACCCGGATCTGACTTGGTGGCGTTTGAACTTGACAGGAAACAGCAAATCCAGCATGAGGCTTATAGAACGAAAGGGCTGCATTGTATAATCCAGCTTCATGGATCGTTTGAGCAATTCAGTGACTGAAGATCAGGCCGTATGATTTCGACTCAGAGTTGCCAGACGTTCCCACATAAACTGAGAAATGATAACTTGAGGATTTAAATGAATAAAACAGTACAATTTAGCCACAGTGAAACTTTATGCATCTTACTGTTATGTAACAAAAACTAAGATTCTTTTCTGGGTTTCTGTTGAAGGGACGTGAATTAAATGGCCGACACAGTGGATCGTGGCTATTTTGTAGAGGACTTGCGTTTCCTCCCGCGGTTGAATTGGGATCCCTGGTTGAACGTGCTATGTTCGCCTTTCCAGGGTGTTCACCAAGCACTGTTACCAGGGATAAGTTCCTATGCCCCCCAGGGCCACTACCTGTTATCTTCAAGGTCATATATTCATCCTTTTAGTAAAAATTAATCAAATGTGATATTTCCAAATTTCCCATAACTATATTTTTAATGGGAACAAAATGGGTTTTTACTTTACTTTACGAGTGTAATAATAATAGTCATCCCCTGCGACACTGTGGAAGTGGTTAGAATCGCTTAGATGAATGGATGGATGCACGGAAAAAAATGAGATGCAAGAGAAAACTGCTGGCACACTCTCGACTCCCTCTCTGCGTTACTCCGGGCTAACTGTATAGGGCGGCTACGCCACACGATCATTACGATCGACAGCCAATAGGGATGCGGTCTGGAACGCCAACCACGCAGCATCAACCAATGGCGACAGCAAAGGGGAGGGACTTTCGCCTTGGCCGCTGATTGAATCGGTCCAGTCTCAATGAGCTAGTTTACAGTGATTTGAGGTATTTTATCAGAACTCTCTGGTATTTGCTTATGAACGCTCCGGCGGCCGTTTAAACGACGCGGATCTATTCAAGACATTGCTGTAAGTCGGCGCACGCAATGACAGGGTCCTATTCACTTTTTCTGGTGATTCGTTGATGTCACACTGATTTGCTGCGGAGCTGCACGCGATCTGAAGTGTTCCGAAATGTGTGCACAGAATGTGCATGAAGAGGGCGTCCATGCGCTTCACTGATGCATTTCTGTCACAGTCAATCTCCGTCTGCGCAGCAGGGATGCAGCCACCTCCGGTTCCTTTATCATCCTAAATCCACGTATATTCCTTAGGAGCAACTTTGTACAGCAGCGGCGCCAGTCGCCGTTTAAATCCGTCACACCCTCACGCGGAGGTGGCACCACCGGTTACGCCGCTCTTTTAGAAGAGGAGCAAACCGTATGTACAACTTGCCTTAAGTGCATCCTGGGAGAAGGATGGTAGCCCCGCAGGAAAGTTCACAGCCTACGGAAAGCAGCCGAAAGTGATCGACCCGCCCGGCGTCGTGATGAAGGTGCTGCGCAGGAAGAGAACCATCCTCTTCCTGGCGTATGTGCTGCTGCTCTTTCTGGCCATGCTCAACCTGGCCAGCTACAAGTGGACCAAGGAGCCGCAGCAGTGCGGCGCCGCCGCCGCCGCGAATACGAGTGTGCCCCGGCAAGGCGCACCCCAGCCCCGGTTCCTTTCTGGAAAGGAGGTGGACAGGCGAAGGCAGCTCATCTACGTGTTCACCACCTGGCGCTCGGGATCCTCGTTCTTCGGGGAGCTCTTTAACCAAAACCCGGAGGTGTTTTTCTTATACGAGCCCATGTGGCACATCTGGCAGAAGCTCTACCCGGGAGACGCGGTTTCACTTCAGGGGGCGGCTAGGGACATGCTTAACTCACTGTACCGCTGCGACTTCTCCGTTTTCCAGCTCTATAACATGCCGGGGGCCAAAAACCTTACCTCTCTGGGGCTTTTTGGGGCCACCCTGAATAAAGTCACCTGCTCATACCCATTTTGCTCCGCTTACAGGAAAGACAGAGTGGGCATGGTGGACGAGAAGGTGTGTCGGAAGTGTCCGTCCCAAAGCCTGCGAATGCTGGAAGCCGAGTGCCTCAAGTACCGCACGGTGGTCATTAAGGGAGTGCGCATTTTGGACATCGGCATCTTAGCGCCACTGATGAAGGATCCTTCGTTGGACCTCAAGGTGATACACCTCGTGAGGGACCCAAGGGCTGTGGCCAATTCCAGGATCAAATCAAGGCACGGCTTGATACGCGAGAACCTGCAGGTGGTGCGAAGTAGAGACTCTAAGCTGCACCGGATACCCCTCGTGGACCCCATGCACAGGGCGTCCAAAAAAGACGGCCCCGACTTTCACTCCATCGGGGCGATGGAAGTGATCTGCGACAGGACTTTCCAGACTTTGCGGACCGCTCTGAAACCTCCCAGCTGGCTTAAAGGGAAGTACATGGTGGTGCGTTACGAGGATCTGGTGGAGAATCCCATTAAAATTCTGCGCAGCGTCTACGGGTTCATGAACCTGACCGCGAACCGCGACATCGAGGCCTTCGCCATGAACATGACCGGCGGCACGGGATCCTCGTCCTTGCCCTTCATCGTGTCGTCCAGAAACGCCACGCAGGCAGCCAGCGCCTGGAGGACCGTGCTGAGCCTGCAGCAGATCCGGCAGGTGGAGGAGTACTGCAAACATTCCATGGAGGTGCTGGGCTACGAGCTGGTCAGAGCGGTGGGGGACGCCCGGGACCTCAGCAAGTCCCTGCTCACGGCTCCCAGGCTCTGACAGCATGCCCCGATGGGCTTTTTATTTTTTTTAATTTTTTTGGGGGGGGGGGGAGGCGACATTTAAGCTGCTCTTTCTTTCATCGAATGTAGGCTATATTTTCAGGTTTTAAACACGTGACTGTTAATACACGTTACGGGGGGGTCCTAAGTTTGAGACTAATTTTAGTTTTGGTTATATCGCCTATAAAGCGGGCATTTGAACTTACGGGATCTCTCTGTTCGTCTCCGTTTTTATTCAGTTATTGGGTTTCAGAACCGTCCCTGTGGGTGGAAAATTACTTTGTTTGATAAGCTAGTGTCACTTTGTTCCTGAGAGACAATCGCGAATTAAAAAAATGTTCATTAACTATCTGTTTCAGTGTGCTTGCTGTTTATTGCCGAACCGCAGTTTATCATTTAGATTTGGCTCCTGTCACCGACGCTCTTATGTTTTCGCTCATAAACAAGGTGTATGAAATGGCATGTTCAGGAGCAACTAAAAGAATTATCGACGTGTTTTAAAACGCAGGCAATTTGCATTTCTTTGATGCTAAGTCGCAATTTAAATAGGAATGTCCGCGTCATCTTACATAGGTTAAATATGTAGGCCTATTCATGTATATACCGGTGCAACCTGCAGTATAGGTCATGGGGAATTTAGAGAGAAATAACAGGGAAAATTTACCAGATTTTTCTTTTGATACTCAAATATTTGTGCATGGCATGCAATTTGCGATGTCATTATATGAGTAACACTTTACTTATGGGGTCAAAAGTAACTCATTAACTCAGTTTCTACTCAAGTACAAATCATGAACAAATTTAGTAAGTACATGAACCGTCATGATTGATGTGACGATTGAATATGGGATCAGTAGGCCTACATTACTAACACTTAGCTTCTGGTTAATACATTATGTAGCCTAATACATTAATTAATACATTATTTGTGCCCCCTTGAGTAAAGTGTTACCCATCAGATGTGATGTTATTGCAGCATAAATGTGAAGGAGTAGTGATGGTTTAGTATTAATGTGTAAAACAGCCTGACCTCTGTGACTGACCGCCTGCTGTAAGTGCAGGTGACCATGCCCTTGTTGACAAGAACTCACGGCTGAGGCAACCAAGCATTTGTTCACCATTGTTCATTGCATAAGAAAACATGTTTAGCTGTCATAGTTTAAGTATGTTGATATGGTACAATCTTGACATTTCATGTGCTACTTTAAACTGGTAGATAAGAATCGCTACAAAATCCGCAGATGTGAGACCTTTCGCATGTTTTTAAATGTAAGACACGTGGGAACGTATGGACGACACAAAGTGTGTCCCTCGTAGGATGTGTACGACACAACCCCATGCTAAAGGCACTATGAAAGTGAACTCTCCCCCACATATTTCTGTCTCCCCCCGACGTAAAAAGGAGCAGCTTCTTCCAAAGGAAGCTGTATCACATGTTGATTCAATTCTGTTGCCATTTAAAGGGACAGTGGCACAAATGCATGAAACGGATGGTGGGGCACTTTTAAATAAGAAAACTATGCTTAATGGAGGGGTGATGTAGCTGTTGGTATGGGGAGGCCTTTACAGACCACTGTGGGTGGGTTTGCGGTCTGATATCAGTCATCAGCTTCGCAGTGGGTTAGATGTGATAAATGACACACCGGGGAGTCCAAAGCATCGTTCATTGCACTCCCCAGGGAGTGCGCGCTCAGATGTGCGCCTCAGTCTGTCCAGACGGGAGTGGCGTGTGTCCCGAGGCCCAGGTCCCCTTCCAGAAGGTCGTCCTGCTGCGTGGTGGAAGCTTCCGCCTCTCCGGGAGACTCCTGTCCTCCTCCTGCTCTGTCCATCTTCCCCGAGCTGCTGTCATCCGCATTCCCCAGTTGTTCCTGGTTCTGTCAAGGTTGCAGGTATGAATATCGGTGAGTGTGTGTAAAATAGGATTCCTTCTCCGCTCCCCGGCAGGGCTGCATACACCCGGCGCATGGGATGAGCACCGGGGTAAGTAAATACCTCGTATGCGTGCGGGCTGGTCAGCAGCCTGGCCAGGGGTCCACACCACAGGGGCAGCGTTGTGGTCAGAGGCGGCCCCTCGTGCGTTAGCGCCGGCCGCAGGTATCTGTGCTGCAGTTAAGGTGTGTCACTCAGGAGGCGGGGGGGGGGCGATGATGCCACAGGTCAGTCACCAGGTAGTGCATAGGGGCATCATCAAAGAGCAGAGATCATGACCTCAATGCTAACCCTAAACAGGCCACTATGATGCTAATGCTAACCCTAAACAGGCCACTATGATGCTAATGCTAACCCTAAACCAGGGGCAGTGTGTGGCTCAGCATACTGCGCCTGTGCCTGTTTTGAAAGTCGCCGGTTCGAGCCTGGCCTCGACAGAATAGTCACATCTGTGGGCCCGTGAGCGAGGTCCTTAACCCCCAGCTCCATGGGTGCTGCTGCAGGTGGCTGCCCTTCGCTGCCAAGCTTGCTCTCACCTATGCATGCCTGTATGTCATGGAGAGCTAGATGGGGCAGGCAAAACGAGAATTTCCTCCCGGGGACCAATGAAGTATCCTTATTATTATAAAACAGGGTATTACAGCCCTAATGCTGCCCCAAATGGAGCAACAGCAGGAACTGAGCAAAAATTCCACTGTCACCAGCTGTTTCCTCTCAACACTGCCATATTACCCTGACTGTTTTTGTCGTGTTTATGGGCTAAATCTACAGATCTGCTCTTTTTAAAATGTCCTTCACCATTTTCCTCCGAGTTGAGGGCCTTAAGGGTTAAAACAGCGAACACGCATATAATTAGAATTTTATCTGGGACTTGCCTGGTGTAAGGACGGTCTGACTTGCCTGTTTACTGGCTAGCGGAGGCTGCAAGGTCCAAGAACAGCAGCTGTGTGAATCATGTACAGTTCAGGTTCTGCTGAAGAAGGGATCATGTGACCTGAGATTATGTTATAATCGGTCATGGAAATAATGTTCCCTGTGATTTCCTTGGCTGCCTTCATCAAAAATTTCAACGAGGGATGTGAATGTGAATCAGCCCAGAAAGGCACAGAAAGCAACACTTATTGTCCTGGGAAAGAATCCCAGAGGCGACTGTAAGGAAACTGACTCACTCATCACATCAAGGGTCAAGCTATCTAAGGTAATATGTAACAACACAATGGGAACACTGTGTAAAAACAAGGAATTCTAATTGGAAAATGGCAGCTAGCGTGCTTAAATGCTACAAGAAATGATGTCTGCTTTAAGTACGGTTTTAAATGCAGCTCTTGAATTTTACTGAAAATACACTAGCGTTTCTGCCTTGGCGAAGGACACAGCAGAAGTATTGCATAGGAGAGCAGTTCTTTGCTGCCTGGGTATTTAATAGCTAAGTGCTGCTAACATTTGATCTACTGCTGACCTGCAGAAAGACTGTTCTGCTCAAAGCGCCGTTAACCCGTCTGTTAGAAAATAATTTATCCATTTTTACTGACCTTCATTTTCCTGCCATTCTACGCTCCTGAATCAATGCTCGCAGCGTAGCAGTCATCGTGACGGGTCAAGACCGTCCCTTGGGTCTCACGTGCGTCGGTCGTGCTCTCAGCTCAAACGCTTTGTATGTGTCAAATTAAGAAGTTACTGATTATGTCAGAGGCATTAAAATATACTACAAAAGGAACAAGTACTTATAGATTTAATAAAAGATTGTTTATGGACAGAGGAGAAATGTGGGTGACGGGGACTGAACTGAACCCTACGAGGGACAGAGTGTGTCTTTGTGCTGTAGACCAGCAGGAGGTTCCACTTGGGATGCTGCTGTGACTCAGTGCTCTCCACACCATCCCAAACAACAAGACTCTTATGTAACAGAATGGATTTTTCTCCATGTCATATGACTATGTCATTCAGAAGCTCACAGATTTATATAGCTAGTCTCTTTTTGTCCTGCCATTGCTTCCAATAAGGATCTCAATGAAAAGGCTTCAAAGCATAAAGACTGAGAGTGACGTGTTTCTCTTTAGTAATATGTGGTTTTTCCCGTTATTCTGGGGTATGTTGGGCAATAATGCTTGCAAAGTGCTATAGACTCTGTGCCCTTTGCCGTAATTTACCAGATAAAGCTGGGACTCCTTAGGCCAATGTAAGAAATATCTAGGTAAAAATTAGAAAAACACGCACTCAGACGGCACAAAATCACCAATAGTAACAAAAAGACCCCTGACGGGTACAAAACTAACAGTAAGCCTGTGCCACCTGTACTGTGTGCAATTACTCATAAAACTCAGGCCTTCCTATTGCAACATTTCTCTGCTTGCCACAACAGGATTGGGTGGGTAAACAAAACGGTGCCCTTCCCATCATGCTGTGCAGGTGATCCCCTATGTGAAAAGTGCCCCACCATGGGAGGAATGAGCGAGTGGCTGAAAGGTGTAAAAGGCCCAGCCTGTGACTAAACTACGTCAGCAGGGGAGAGTGGAGGGAAGGAATGCAGATTTTCAGGGAGCATGTAAGGACACAAAGGTCTTAACGAGTTCCAGACGCTAAAGAAGGAATGCCTTTGATGGCTTTATCGGGATGAAAGATCGACCCTCAATGCTGGACCCTTTGCCTGATTGGCTAATGGCTGGTGCTGCTTTTCATATTATTTTAACCCTCCATCGCATGTTGATTCCCAGCCTAAGCTCTGTATTTTCCATTGTACATGGGAAATTTCTTCCAGTGTCTAGAAAGCCACGACTAAATGTCAGACATGATGAACCCAACACCGAAGCTATGAAGAAGTGCTGCTCTTGGACAGAGCCGTCCTGCCCTACAGGCAGCCTGGGTGGTCGCCTGGGGCGCCATTTGATTAGGGGCGCAAAAGAGCGAGTGAAAAAAATAAGAAGAAATACCTCTGGTTGCATTCTGAGACGTTACAGCTATTTACAATACTTTTAATATTTCACATTTTTTGTGAAATAGCTGTTTAGATAGTCGCCAGATACATGTTGCTGCTGAAATATTTTTAATAGCTGAGAGATAAACTGCTGCTTTTTTTGGGGGGGGGGGGGGGGGCTGCTCTTGGAGCTCTGCCTCGATGGTGATGAAGTATTCATTCGAGGTGACCTGTGGCCCAGTTTAAGGTCACTGCCACATGAGGACAAGGGGGCATTTCTCTGGTTATTACGAAATTCCTCCCAGCTCTGTATGCGCAGCATGAAGGTCCGATCACAGTGCCAGCTCATTTAATTAATTAACTTAAATATTTAAAGAACTCAATGAGGTATTGATCAGGCAAACAAGGTGGGGTAGCGATTGAGTAAAAAAATACAGTGGTGTATTGGCCAGTTGCTGCAAATACTGGGGTGGTTTTTGAAGAGGTTTTGAAAGCGTGAGCTAACACACTTTGGCAGGTCTAATATATTTTTACACCAATATTTAGGTAATGTACTGTAAACACCATTTTCTTTGACTGCCTGAGACTTTTGCACAGTATAATATGTACAGTAATTATATGTACCATACAGCCCCACGGGAAATCACTATGCTGGGAGTGAGTATCTTTTATGGCTCCTGAAACTTTACATTAAGAAATGCAAACAATGACCAGGGTTTTGACAGTATGGTAAACTGGAGTAGTATTTCTCAGAAAAGCAAACAGAATGGTTTCGAGAAACACAAAATGAAGAGTTTCATTTAAATTATACCTGGCTTATGTTACTGAGGAAGGTACAGTGATCGGTCTCTCTGAGGGTAAGGGGATGGCCTGTGATCCCCGCCTGACAGGCGTGAGCTGTCACTTTACCTGGGACACGTCACCTTAGCCGCCGCTGTCCGCGGGCAGGGCCCCTGTTTTTTGGGGAATGTCTGTAGGATACCTGTAGTCCAGGGCTTTCCATAGCTGCCACGTCAAGGGCCCCTGGGGCCGCGGGGCCGCGAGGGAGTCCTCCACGGCTGCCTAAGAAGCATGGGAGAGCCGGAGTCAGCGACAGCGGCACAAAGAGTGGCGTGCGGTGTCTCTGGGGGCCGGGGCCAGCTGTGAGCCGCAATCCGGGTGAGTGCAGGATATCCGGTGACCCCCGTGTGGAGATACCAGGGGTTCTCAATGGGAAGGAGGCTACAGTTACGGGCAGGTCAGGAGCCAAACAGGATGGCGACTGTGAAAATAGCCCCAGCAAAGCCCAGCGGAGGCGCTGATTACACGCTCCATTTCCATGTGAATAGCCCAGCGCTGGCCCTTTGAAGGATTAGGTCCCGATCCGAGGAGGCGCAAAGCAGCCGAACACGTCCCCGGAATCAGAAACGGGCATCGGCACTCATATCTACTCGAATAACTGAGAGGAAATTATTTTACGGATGCTTCCGGAAGGTTCCTTCATTCAAAGACAGCGGAGATGAGTTGATGGTTCACACCGGCATCACAACTAATATTACATTGACCGTAAAATGCTTGTAGTGTCACCCCAACCCTGGAGCCGGAAGCGGGTTGTAACCAGAGCCCGGATAAAAGCGAGGGGCTGCGTGGGGGCCCAGGCCGGGACGGACATGTCGCGGGAAACACGCCTCGCGTCACGTTACCTGGCTGCACGGTGCCTCCCCGGGGTTCTCGTCAGGGTCCACTCCCACCCTGCCGAGAAAAGAGAGGGGAGGGGGGGGCGTGAGCGGCTCTGAAGCAAAGCATTTACACTCAGTGGTCCCACATCATCTGAGAGGCAGCAGCTGTGGGCCCTTCATAATAATAAAAGTAATATAATTCTGCCATCATCATGTTGACCCATGGGTAGGAGACACCTCCTCTCCCTGTGACACGCGAAATTCACTGTTCCCTGCCACACTTCAGTGAAATCTGATTATTCCCCACAATGCCTCAGTGAAATGCATGGTTACCTGCGACGCACCAGTGAAATGCATGGTTCCCTGCGACGCACCAGTGAAATGTCACCATTCTCCATGATACCTCTGTGAAACCATTGTTCCGAGTGACGCTTCAATGAAATGCGGTTTCCCTGTGATGTCTCACGATGACCAACACGGTAAACAACCTGCAGGCTAAGCTGTACGACAGTTCAGTTCCATCTCATGCACTGTGAAGTGCGGGTGAGTCAAAGAAAATAAATGACAATCATTCAAGAAGTCAGTAGTGATGCAATAATGATGGCACACAGCTTTCTGAGCGAAAACCGTTTCAACCCTAATACCGTCAAGCTAGTGCCACGCACAGAGCTCAGTCCATCTTCCTGAGCCTTGATGCCATCTGAGACCACCACCCTCAAAATGCACCTTCCCATCACAAGCCAGCTGCTTGTTGTTTCTCTCATACATTATCCTTCTCGTCGTTCTGCTCCACAACAAATTATCGCTAGTAAAAGTGCTCATGTGCACACATGACAGTCCCCGAAGAGCCATTTTTAAAGTAATACATAGCATGTATTAATGTCAATGTCAGAGTGGACTCAATGTAATTTTTCCTCATTACATATAAGCTGTTTCATCAGGTCGGACCACGTGAGAGGTTAAATTCCATACGCCTGAGAATTGATGCTGGCAACAACCATAAACGCTTCAATCCATGTCAAAGAAAACCCTGTAACAATTGGAGTCCCCAGATATATGATATACCCCCGTATATATCACACAGGTAGGTCATATTTTTGGAAAATCTGTGTAAATGCGGACACCTGATAACTCCCTTAGGTCCGTGGGTGTGACTGTCATTACACGGTGGCCTTAAAGGGATCGCCGATATCCACTGTCTGCCTGGGAAGTGTCCCAAATATCTCACAACACGTACAGCTCAGGAAAGGCACTAAGGATGCAGTCCGGACCCAGGAAATGTTCCCTCAAGTAGGAGAAGTGGCTCTTCATTAAGGGAGTGAGCTTCCATTGACTTTATAAGCTGGGTCAGAGGAAGGCACCTTTAATCAAGGCCCCTGGGCCAATTGGGTGCGGTGATGTGGGGTTTTAAACATGTCAGCTCTTTATCGCTGGCAAGCAGATCCCCTGAATACCTTAAGCCAGGAGGCCTCAAGTGCACGGTGTCCTGTCAGGCACACGGCTCCATGCCAAGGCTCCGGGGAGTACCACTCACCATCAAGGGTAGGTGTTCCCCCCAGTGACTCAGCAGAAAGGGAGTTTGTGGGGGGACCTGCGGTGATCCCCAGAGATAGAGGATAGGGCCTGACCCGACAGAACGCTTCGGAATCTGGGATGTTCAGCTGCTGACAGGCGCTGTTGACTCAGGAAAGCGTGAGAAATATCAGGAAGACGACCTTGGGGAGCTGAGATCCGGTCGATTAGCGGTGTTTGTTTTCTCTAACTTTTGAGAGTGGCCGTACTGTGAGGAAGAGTCTCTCCATGGGGAGATGCTTAAAAACAACCAGATGGACGGCAGCAGGGGGGCCGTGAGGAAGGGGCCATGAGTACGGGCTGACGATCCACCGGGTTCATAACTTTTGCACAGGAAATCTTTGTAAGGAAATTGCAGTAACAAAGGCACTTCCTGAGTGAAATCCTACATCTGAAGCCCTCGATTAAAATTAATGCCGCGGCGGAGTGGGGTTTGGGTTAGGGGGCAGGAGGGCATACGGGAGTCAGCATGAAGCCCCGCCCCTCAGAGGCACAGCGCGACCCGGAGACAGGGGAGCGGGATCTCCGTTACCAAGGAAGACTGTCAGATTCCCGGGAATGCCTCTGACGGATGAGGCGACGTTATCATGCTCGTGACAAAGCACTGGTTTCCAGGGGATTCCAGTTATACATTTTATTCTGTCAACAAACGGTTTATAAACGGGTCACCCTGATTAATGACACGTATCACAAAGTTATAGCGATGATTTAACAGCCTGGGGGAGCAATTTTCAAACGTCACTCTTTTTCGGTCACGCTTGAGAGGCCATGCTGCTTTTGGCCAGGGCCGAGACAGAATCCTCTAGAAGGTGGCATTCCTCTGTCGATAACATCACCGTGGGCCTTTTTAGAATCAGAAGAATAAAAATTACACTCCCAGGCTCTGCCAGTTCAGCACACACTCAACTCACTCCTCTAATTTCACCTCCAACGCCTTTTCACAGCAATACTGGGTCAGGCGATTCTTCTTCGTGTTGGGATCCAGTTTACCGGGCGTGAATGGGAGAGTGGGGTGTCGTCAGGAGAGCCCAAAGCATGCTGGGAGCCCGGCAGAGGGTGGCGTGTTTAAAGCCGTAACCAGTTAAAACAGGACCCCTCCCTCTGGTAAGTGTTTACTGTAGGATCATTACTGTCAGATCCTGGACTCACAGAAACCAGCATCCTTACACAAACTCTGCAAACTTAGCTGGAAACTGCCTCCTTTCAGACTTTATATTTGTGGATCATTAATAAGACAAAGGTCCTCCGAGCTGAGATGAATCCCACAGTGAAACCGGATCTGTGGGGAATGATTCTACATTTGACGTCACCGTCAGCTGAAATGCTGTTGTCCCTGAGGTACGTATTTCATATCAGGCTTTTTAAGATGAGATTCCTCTGCTTCAGGTCAGATGCTGGCAGGTGAACCGCACCCTCCCTCTGTCACGTCTCAGGCATTGCACACCATACTGTACCCTCCCATTACACTCCCTTTACACTCCCATAACACCCCCATTACACTCCCTTTACACTCCCATAACACCCCATTATGCTCCCTTTACACTCCCATAACACCCCAATTACGCTCCCATTACACTCTCATAACACCCCCATTACGATCCAGTTACACTCCCATAACACCCCCATCACACTCCCGTTATGCCCTTGTTACATTGATGTTACACTTCCATTATGCTCCCGTTACGCTCCTGTAATACTCACATTATGCTCTTATTAAGCTCCTTTCACACCTCCCTCGCAGAGTGCCTCCATAAATATCCTCCAAAATCCCAGCATACAGGCCATAACGAGGCAACGGCCACTGCAGCACAGAATGCATTGAATTCACCAAATGGCCCAACATTCGGGGTCATGGTCACGCGTCATTGTCCCCAGCGGCCTCACAGGCCTCCCAGCTTGGTGAAACCAAGTGTCACCAAGGTGTCATACGATGTCACCTGCGAGCCAGCAGTGACAGAAGCACCATGCTGACTCATCCTCCTGACACAGTGACCTTTAGCCTAAGGGGGTGTCTGAAGTTCCCCGCCTGTGGTCATTTGTAATGGCAGAGACCCAAACACGGCTTCAGGGAAAAGTAGGACCTTACAGGGGGGCAGCAAATGCACAGGAGGCTCAAAGAGTGAATATAAACATGTTTACTTCTGCTGCGGAAAAGTTTCAAGAATCTTTAACTAACGCCACCTGTCACTGAAAAAGAAAAACAAAACGTTACAGCTGAATGTTTCTGAAGGAGTATGGCAGAGTTCAGGAAGGCCATGGAAACCCTACAGACACAGACGTGTGCTCTATTAGGCCCCCTGTGGCGTGTCATGGTGCAAGTGAGCGCCCCCTGCAGGTGCCTCTTTCTGAAGCCAGACCCTCCCCTCCCTCCTGCCAACAGGCTGCTGGCTGCGATGCCGTGAGCAGGGACTGGGTCAGAACCCACCTGAGAGACATGTGCTCATGTGCACAGATGACGGAGGGACACAGCCAGCGTGGGGCAGGGTTATTAGCATTAACGAAAAGGAAAACTATAAAAATACATTATTGTGAACTGAAATTAAATAAGACACGAAAATACAATTAAAAAATGATGAAAACATTGAATAACGCTTCCAAAAATAACTGAAATAAAAACAAACATCAAATACTTTCCATTGCTATGTATATCGCTAAAGTAATGATTTGCTTATATTTAACTACCATTAATAATACCTGGAACATGTTCTGTCCATTTTGAGGACATCAGTACATTATGTGCACTGTGTATTCATGCAGGAGTCTCTGAAGATCAGGCATAAAAATTTCAGTCTATCCCTAGAAATAAAATTACTAAACCTAAACTTAAACTGAAACTAAACTAAACTAAAATACAGAACTAAATAGAAACATATCTTTTAAAAAACAAAATCACACTGAAAATGAACTAAAACTAACCTGGATTACAAATGAATATTGAAAATAAAATAAAAATAATGTCCCAGCACAAAGGACTTGGGGTAGGTGTTGCGGCAAAACAAAGGTTGCGGGGGATCAAAACAGGAGGAGTGGGAGCGGAAAGGGCACCGGCAACATGATGGAATGACCTCAGTGACAGGACTGGGGGACACAGGAGTGGCAAGTGCGTATTTACAGAGCAAACAAGGGAGGTAACAAGAGGAGTGGAGAGTGTGAGAGGTAAGAGACAGGAGTAAAGGACATGGCTTGTTAGGGTCATGCCAGGGAGGAGACAGGAGGGTCACATGGATTTGATGGGCAGGACGTGACAAATAAAAGCTAAATTAAAAAACTCAAACTATAATCACACTTGTGGGGGGGGGGGGGATTCTTCAGAAAAAAAAGACAAATCCCAGCTAGCATGCCAGGATCATAAATGTGCAGCTGCCGGAATCAGTATTTCCAGAAAACGTGATTTTAATGACAAAAATTCTAGCTGAGACTTGTGCAGCATCGCTGTCCTGTAACCCAGTCGGCAGGACTGACGGCATCCGGAATGCACCTAAATCAAGGTATAAACAGCAGCCCTCAGAGAAGCCCATAGGGGGCGCCAGCACTACCTGCTCCATGCTGGGGGCAGGGTTACAATCCTATCAACAGCTGGGAGCTCACTGCGAATCGCTGGTTGGCCAGCACCCCTCCAACAGATGGCAGCTTCCCTTGTGTGTTGGTGTCACGCTGCTCATAAAACCATCAACAGAGCAGCAACTTTTTAACTCTCAGAGCAAACAGCAGAGATGTCATGCCGCGTGGCAGCCTGGGTTCAAACCCTTCCCCCAGGAACGAGTGTGGACCTCTTACTGGGGGTAGGGTGTTAGGAAAGCTCCGCAGAGCTGCGAATCCTGCCTACAGGGGCTCATGTGGACTCTGGCTCCGCCTCTGCAATCCATCACTTGATGTTGCCCTGGCTGAGCTGGCAAATCTCCGTAGCTGTGGATTTGCTGTCCCGGGAGACGCCTAATAAACGGATCTGTTTGCGTAAACGTTGCCAAGTTGCCCGTGCCTCGTGAATCACAGTGATGTGGGGGCGTTTTCCTGGTGGCTTGCAGTGGCTGCATATAGTTAATTTCTGGGGGGAAACTATCTGCCCCGGTCAGGAGCGGCATTTCAACGTGAATCTTGGCATTCCTGGACTCTACAGGGCCGATACAGTACTTTGGAACAACAGGCTGCTTAGATGAGCTTGGCAATCAGGCCACCATTCCCGTTACACTCCCATAACACCCCATAATCTCCTGTAGACCCCAGTGGAAGTCAGAGCTTTGAAGCCAGATGCAAGCCAGCAACTGGAGCAGAAACTTATGGCCCCAAGGCTGGATTTATTTCTACTGCAACTTGACCTTTAAAAAAGCTCCATGGCCATTCAGACTAAGCTCCTCCTAGAGGTTTAATAGAATCGGATCACAGAGCAGTAAGGACCTTCACCAACAGGGGGCACACATGGGGCAAACCAGAGCTCGGCCGCAAGACCTACCGAATGTCTAGCCAGCCCAGCATAGGCACGGTGGCGCTGCCCATCACCCACACGGTGACCAGAACCACCAGTAGTGTGGTGCTGAGTATGGCCCGCTGGGCCTCTGTGGACGTGTCCTGAGCTGCCAAGGCAAACGCCACAGCTCCACGCAGACCTGCAAGACAGGGGCATGTCATGTCAGTGGCTAGCCACTAGGGCGGTGATGTGGCGCATAGGACTATGGGCAACTCAGCCAGAAGCTAATAAACAGCTAAAATGCTAAAAATGCTAATGAGCAGAGGGGCCCTTAAGTGGCCCCCTGCCACCATCCCTCAGTCAGCTCTCCTGCTGATTTCCATCCCTCCCCCTCATCCCTAAGTGGTGAACAGTCCAGATCTGAACCCGGGCTCCTCCCCTAACTGCCCCACATTTCCACAATTTGTCATGAAGCCCCGGTCTGCTCAAGGCCTGAGACATACAATGTTATCACTTCTGCATTCTCGCCCCCATTCGCTCCCCGGAGTGTAATCATTTCGAGAGCAGCTCTGGCTCCCCTCAGCATACTATTTTTTTATTTATTAACAAGTCAGATAATCAACAAACCGCATTTTAATTAAACTTCATCATGGCGGATTTGCATGTTTGTCATCAGGGAGTCGTTCAGGATGTGGGTGCATGTCAGTGCGGAGGCCCTGCAGGTGTCGTACCTGAGAACATCATCATGTGCTGGATGTTTCTGGGAATCCGCCGGTGCCGGCCCAGGTTGAGCAGGAAGGACAGGGGGTAGATGTTACAGGCCCTCGCCAGCATAATGGACAGCTGTGTGGATGCGACTCAAGGCCACATAAGTGATCGTCTGTTCAGGGTCAGAGCTGTCAACCTCAGCAACACACGGAGGCATGTGTGATGTCATGGAAATCTATGTGAGATCCTCTTAAGAGATCTACCAGTTTGCTATACTGTAGGGTTCTGGTGTAATGCCACTCCCTGGGCTTGCCCTAGAAACAGCGATTGCATGTTCTCCCTCTGTCATGTGGGTTTCTTATGGATTCTCCAATTTCCTCCCCCAGTCCAAAGACAAGCAGTCAGGCTGACTGGTGTCCCTAAACTGCCCCTGGTGTGTGGTTATGTGTGTGCCCTGCAATGGACTGGCATGCCGCCCAGGGTGTCCCACTGCCTCAGGGACAAGCTCCAGGCCCCCCGGTAACCCAGCTCAGGGTAAGTGGCTGGAAGATGGGTAACTGCTTTAAAATTAAAATGTTAAAATAGTAAGAATAACTGCTCTGCAGGCCACTCTAACAGATAGAATGAGACTGGAAAAAAACAGCAAAACAAGGCCGCATCTTTCCGGAAGGTACCGCAGGGAAGGATACGAAGGCCCCGAAGATGAAAAACACCTGGAAGACGTGCGTGTGGAAGGTGAACATGGCGAGGCCGATGTAGCAGAAGGTGAAGTTCTCGCCCAGGAAGTTCAGGAACTCAAACAGCTAGGGGGGGGGCGGGGCGGTGAGATAACAGACAGGTTCAACCAGGAATTGAAGATTACTTGGATACACATTTGTGATGCTACACATTTAACGAGATCAGCACTGGAGGTTTCCAAGACCCTGACCAGGACAGCTGCATAAATGGGAAGTTCACCCCAGGTCAGGTCAGCTTGGGGAGCCTGCACTGGTGCAGCGCGTTGCTGCACCCACCACTCGACAGAACACCTCAGGATCCCGGTTAACAACCCCCCAGGTCAACACGTGGTCTATGCCCAGCCTCTGGAAATGGTCGTCTATCTGCCGCAGCCAGGGGTTGCGTGGGCGTCCACATGGTCTGGTCCAGCCACTGCAATGAGGATCCTGCGAGCCGGACCTCCCTTACGGAATCGCGCCACATGGCTCCCTCACAATGCAGGTCATGTGCTTCATTCGGGACTCCCTGAGCAGCTGTTCATTCGACACAAAGTCAAACCAGCAGTACCCAAGGATTCTCTGAAGAGACACAGTATCAAAGGTGTCCGGTCTTCATCTCAAGTAACTGGATATGGTCAATGTCTCACAGCCATGCAGCAAAACAGGGAGCACCAGGACTTTAAGGACTTGGACCTTCGTCCTCTTGCAATGATATCGGGAGCCACACACCCCTATCCAATGACCTCGTGACCCCCATGCTCTCCCAATCCATCTACTGATTTCATAGGAAGAGTCACTGGAGACATGAATGTTGCCTCTGGTCAGTGAAACTCTGGACACAGTTGAAATTCTCTCTGCAGACAGACACACTGCTGATGGCTGTGCCCAACAGGTCATTAAAGGCCTGGATCTTGGTTCTTATCCAGGACACTCTCCAGCTTAGACACTCAGACTCCTCACTCAGTCTCTCGAGAGCCCCGATCAGGGCTTCCATTGACGAAGATCACAGCATCATTGGCAAAGTCAAGATCAGTGAATGTTTCTTCACCAACAGATACCCTACAGCTGCTGGACCTCAGGACCCTGCACGACACCCAGTCCATGCAAGCACTGAACAGAGCAGGAGCAAGAACACCAGAATCAACTGGGAAGAACGCGGAGGTTCTTTCTCCACTTCGCACGGCACTCATAGTACAAGTGTTCAGGCCGGTCATGATGTCCAGCAACTTTGGGGGAATCTCACAAAGTCTCAGGATATCCTACAGAGCAGCTAAATGCTTTACGGAGCTTGACAAAGGCTGTAAAGAAATCCTGCCGATATTCGTGTTTGAGCTCAAACCCTCAGTGCCAGGATGCGGTCGATGGACTTCTTAGGCATAAAACCAGGCTACTCCAGTCGCTGGTAGGTAAGCAAGTGATCAAAGATCCTCTTGAGGATGACCCTAGCAAGGACCTTACCCGGCACTGAATGCAGTGCCATCCCTCTGTATTTGCCATAATCCAAACAATCACCCTTCCCTTTCCAGATAGGGAGAACAAGTCCAGTTGTGCAGTCAGTTGGGATGATGTCCGTCTCCAAAATGGAAGCAAAGATTGCTTGCAATGTCTTACAATCAGCCTGGTCAAATTCACCCTGGAAGTTCACAGCTAATCAGAGGATCAGCCTCAAGAGCTAAGGACCCAGAGATGTCCAACATCCTGGCCGGAGGATCAGTTTTAAACATCATCCACCCTGTCTGCAGCTCTCCGAGCCCCAAGCCTCCTGGTGCTATCTTCTGCGCAGTATTACAACTGGATTGTGGAATTTGGCAGAAGAAAATAGTTCCTACATTAAACTGCGCACTATAAAGTCTGTGCTTTACCTTGAGTAACTGGGTCATGATTTCTAGTAAGAGACATTGCTGTTGAATTTTTCAAATGTATTTTTTGGCGCTTTAATCACCATAGAAAGAATGCCATCCAGTCCTGTTATATTTTAGAGAATGCCAACATTACCATGGCCGATATCTCCAGGACTAGGCAACTCCCAACAGAACAACCTAGATGGACAGCACTAAAGCAGTGCTGGGGTGAACCGCCCATTAAAAAAATGGACAGATGGTTGGTTACAAGACTCCTTTACGAACCAGTCAATCAGGCAGACAAACTGAGACCAATTGCACTGTATCTGTCTTCCAATGAAATGACTTCCAGTCTTCAAGGGCCTTTTTGTTAGATTTTTCTGTCCCTTAGGCCTGTCACATCACTCTGAGTCACGAGTGTTTTCCTGGAGCCAGATAGTGGATCTCTTATCTTAGAGCTGCTAATCTCTCCATCACTGAAAAGTCATAACTGGTTCAGACCCTACCTTTCAGGAACATCATTCAATATTAACATGCTCATGTACAACAAATATGTCAATATTTGTCCATGAACTGTATCGCCTATGGTTCAAATGGTGCTCCAATGCGTCTGTTGGCATTTTTCTGAGCCTCCGATTCTCCAAAGTCATTTCATCAGTTTGATGCTTCTAAGAATTAGAGGACAATTAATTAAGAGCAAACAGAATATTCATGTCAAGAAAATAATCATGAACTGTATGATCAGTACTGAGAAAGAATAATGATTAGGGTTCCTGAATGCCTAAGAGCCTGGCATCGCAGGACGAGCAGGCAAAGGCGCTGAGCACCGTGCAGGGAGTCACTGAACACTCGGCTCCAAATCAGCTGGTGCCTGACAGCTAATTTACCCCGGCGGCTGGGGGGCCCCTGAGCAGCAGCGGCTCCCAGCTATTTGGCATCTTAATTGTGGTGTTATTGTTCAGCCTATTTCCCATACAGAGGAACATAGCAAGCACACACCTGCATTGCATTACCACAGTCACACGCTGCGATGGGCATAGCCTGGTAAGAGGGTACAGGGACACACTGGTGAACAATGTATGTGTAGCTTGCACCGTGTGTGTGTGACATGTGTGTGACCTGCAGTGCGTGTGTGTGGCCTGCAGTGCATGTGTGTGGCCTACAGTGTGTGGCATGTATGTAGTGTTTGTGTGTGGCCTGTAGTGTGTATGTGTGGCCTGTTTTGTGTGTGGCATGTTGGACATGTGTGGTGTGTGTGTGTGTGTGGTGTGTTGGGTGTGTGTGTGTGGCGTGTTGGATGTGTGTGGTGTGTGTGGCATGTTGGACGTGTGTGGTGTGTGTGTGACGTGTTGGACATGCGTGGTGTGTGTGTGTGTGTGATGTGTTGGGTGTGTGTGTGTGGCGTGTTGGATGTGTGTGGTGTGTGTGTGCTTGTTGGATGTGTGTGTGTGTGTGGCATGTTGGATGTGTGTGGTGTGTGTGTGACGTGTTGGACGTGTGTGGTGTGTGTGTGGCGTGTTGGACTTGTGCGGTGTGTGTGTGGCATGTTGGACGTGTATGATGTGTGTGTGTGTGTCTGTGTGGCATGTTGGACGTATG